GTTTTTTGTCAAGAGAAAAATGCATGTCATCAATCCATTGATGCTTGCCGGACATCTTTTTGAAACTAGGGAACTTCGATAGTGGCCAGATGCCGTGGAGCTATTTATATTAAAGACTTTAAACAGTAACTAGATAAATATTAATGTTTAAAACTACGAAATAATAGTTAGGTATGAAATCCACTTTTCTGTAAACAATGTCCGTAATAGACATTGCCATCCCCTCGTCGCCCGTTACCTAAGTGTTCATTCTATTTCACAACAATATTCAGTTTTCAAGTGGATCTTTTTGTATTTCTATAGATCAAAAGAGCCAACAAGGGTATGAATTTTGGCTTGTAACACGCGCTAACAGAACACCGTCCTTTACTAGGATCGCATTATGTGTTCGATCGTGTCTCTAACAATTTACAAACAAAAGTTTACTGTATATGATAAAATCCTGTACTATGGTGGCCCATATAATGACGTTATTAATTGGCATACGCACAAGCTTTACGACAAAATCAGCGATTCCCATTATCGCGAAGCCTATACAACGGAACATAGAAGAAGAGAGCTCGAATCAGCTACCGTTACTTGAAGCATAAGTGAGAACTATAAGGCCTGGTAAAGTGAATTAATTTTATTATTTATGCACATATGTGAACACATGTAAGCCTGCTCACCACAAAACGGGATAAATTTTTTTCGCCAGGTTAGTTCTTTTATATTCAAGTATAGGACATTATCATGTATGACCTCCTGCCGTATTGATATTACTGTATTTATCCTGCTGCTATACAAAGGTCGTACCAAGTCTCGAGAGACGATTTCGACCTTAGCTTGAACTAACTGTCTTCTTAAGAGGATGCCAAGCAATATCCGGCGAGTACGGTCAACGACAACAAACCTCCTGCAATTTTGCCGCCGTAACTTTTGCGATGTGAGGTCGGAGGCCATCGTGCAACTAGAATAGTTTATCTCAGCTTTCTGTTTATACCTGCTTAATGCGAGGTGGTTCGATCATCTCTTCCAATTCTCGATAGTACATTTGAGCCGCAAACGGATCGTAAGCCACGACCTCTAACGTCGTAGTGGATAAAACCTGCATGACACCACAAGATCGACGTCATAAGCTTTTGCGGTTTGTATATATTCTTTGCGGTGGTTTCCTCTCGGCTCAGTTGCGTCGGACCACTGATGTGATCGCTTGCGACTATTGTGAAGAATCTATTTTTCATCGCAAGCCACTACTCGGTGCAGGAATGTGTGCAAGAATAACATAAACAAAAAGAAGCGAGCGTTTCGATTTTCGTTCATATCATACAGCTCCTGTTTGTTTACTACTCTACCCTGTTGAGTATATACGTCGAGCTTTAGAACTCATGTCCGTGCGCGTTTGAGTGACTTTCATTATAGTTTTTAACTCTTCATTATCTGCTTTTACTGAGGGTATTCCACGAGGCTCATTCTCAACTTCAAAATGTCGTTATTTCCGGAGTTTTTCAGGCAACCCTTCACAGTATTTCTAGCAATAGAACCTTCACCGAATACAAAGCATATACAGTGAATTGTCCACGTCATCGTAGTTTCGAGACCGAATATTCGTCAACCATCGTATCTACTTATTTTTTTATAGCTTACGGCAACATGGCGGCTAAAAGTACAAACCACGGTGTCCCGACGAGCAGACTTAAATCGCGAAGAGTTCAAACGTGTCCCGAATGCAAGAAAGGTGTCGCGAAACGTCAGCGCTATTTTGTAAAAATATAATCATATCTCTACCGGACATCCTGAACAACCTTATATATATATATATAAGGCTATATAATCAGCTATAGGTTCCATGCCTGCTCAGACTATACCATGTGAATGTTCCGTATTGTTTATGGTACTTTTGTCAAAGGCTATTTCAAAATAGGCGCAAGTATTACATAACGTTTTAGGGGACTCCACTAAAGAACCTACCTGTTAGTGTAGAAACGTCTCTTTTACGGAATACTTTGCGACCGGGCTCGGTGCAATGGACGAAGAAGCGAAAGCTGTCTTTGCTTAAACAGGAACCAGAACACAATAGCTTCGAGTCTACGGAAGAGAAGATCGTTACGGAAACATGCATAGAGTTCTAAGCGTAGCACCGCCACTTTTTAGTCACACTTATAGTGACCGACCGTTGAGAAAAGTTTGTTCTTTATAATTATTTGTTGCACGTATAACGACATTTTGATAGCGTAAAGTGGTGACAACGTTCAAGTATGTGGACTTCTCAAAGAATTCTAGAAACGGTCAAATTTACCGGTGAAAGAAGAAATTTGATGTTTTAAAAGATCGAGCATAAATTACCAGCAAGATATTGAAAGTCAGTACGTAAACTAGGTTAGTTATGAGGAGAGCTGATAAGGAAGATACGGTGCCTTTGATAGATCTATTTCGAGGGTTTGAGGTCAAGTGAGTTCTTGCTTAGGAGCTGCATAAGCGATTCCGGTCCGTCAAACGTCTCCGTCGAATTGCGTATGCTAAGAATGTGATTGATGAGAAATACGTAACATCCCTTAAATACCTGTACGTCGCAAATGAGATATTTAATTGAAATCGACCGCCGCTGAAGCAAAGTTGCGTCACTTGTACCTACTGGTAACGCGACTGCTACAACCATAAATAGAATACACTCTCTATTATGCCAACAAGAGCATTGTAACCTGTATCTACCTACTTATTTTGCTCGACGCGACGTATGAATATGTCGGACCTTTAAAGCCACAGAAAGGTCGATTGTAAAGCCACTGTGGTTATAATAATAATATCTGACGGCGACGATCGCCAATCGGCTATTGACGGGTAACATATTATCTTGGTAAGATAACAAAAATCGTATTACTCGGGCATAAAAGTTGCGAGACTTTTGCTAAATTTGCTGATCGTGCAGTCGATTTAAAGTGGTTTCGTGTTTATCTAAAGCTGATCAAATACGCAGAGTGTGTAAGCGCGGAGAGAACAGAAGTTCTAACTTCGACTAGTTGTTAGTACTGCTGTACTGATATTTCATGTTGCCGACCGCAAGGGCAATAAGGCTAAAACGACTATAGGCTGTTGGCGTGTTCAAGGACCTTTCTATCAAAACCACTGTACTCAGGGATCAGGCACCAATTCTTTGCTTTCTTTCAACGGTTGCAACAACGAGATATTACACCAACGGTTTTAAATTATTATAATTATTAAGTCACATCATTCGGTTTTTTATAGCTCGTTGAGTTCAGATTTCAATATATTTAGAAATTCGTTCTCTAACTGTCTTCAACAGTTGAATTATGCGCAGGTGTTGGACAAACGAAGCCAGCTGCATGAACTTGCAGCAGCAGCAGCATATTCCAGGGCCTCATTTAAACCTTCTATAAGCAGCGAAACGGCAGTCCTATATAGCATCTTTCACGCAAGAGAACGCATAAGAACTAAAGCGTAGTCCTAAAATAAATCATAACGTAACCTGAGCACTAATTGCCTGAAATTTCTGGCTTTCATATTAGGTTAGTCATGTAATAGAATCAATTTGGTGTTTAATCAAATATGAGTGCTTTGGCTTTAGTGTGCAATTTTTCATCTATTTTAGACTTGGATTAGAAGCACAAGTCAAAAGCGGGGTTCTTAAAGGCGGGGTTTTCGTCGCTATCGTTGTTATCGAAAAATAACCTTGTCAAAAACTTTCTAGTTAACGAGTTTCAGCTTAATAAGGTATAGCTGGTGCATTTGGAAAAAACTTGTCAGTTTTTTTACTGATACTTGGCATTGAGAGACAATATAATATTACGAAACAATGGAGTAATCATTTTTCATACATAGTTCTACGGGAATGCTACTCTCGGAGTTGCCTTTACAAATAACTATTCAGTGAGTGTCCAGCGTCGGCCCGCTGAAACATGGTATGCTCAAAATTTAAAATTCGCATCAAGTTTCTGATACTTCTGACACATATATCTACCTGTCTATGTCTTTGCGATCTATTAAACAACACGAGATAAATTAGGCAGTGTTCATATTCGACGGAAAGTTTAATACAGATCTGAATTATGGCCACAGCATCGAAGGCTGTATGTACCTCGTGCTAGTCGGCATGCATCATAGCCGGCCGCAGTCCCTACTACAAGCTACGTTGCTAGGCCCAGCAAATGATGATGTCGGATTTCCTTTGGTAAGCCGAGGAAGTCGAGCAGTCACGACGATGCAAAAATCTATCTTGGCTTAGACGCTTGTTGTCTAGTGGTAACTATGGAATATGAAGCCAGCGCGTGCATAGCAGTCTGCAAAGGGTTACATAAAGCCCATATATCAGTATTATGCCATTGTTGCAATGATGATTGACGTTCATAGGCTAACAGAGTACAGTTTAGTGTATGTGCTATCCCATGTATGTAACCGAACCTGCCTAGGTTCGGATATATGAATTTCAATATGTTTATCTTGCATTCATATAAGGTATTCGTTTTTCTACAGATATTCTGATGGTAAACTGGAAGTTAGTCGACAGTCTGTCAATTTTTTTAACTCCTACTTTTACTTCCTTTTACTTTATTGCTAGACTCTCAAATTCTCATAAAACTTTTCCCCCTACAATATTTCTTAAATATATATATATATATGAGAAAGAGAGAGAGAGAGAGAGAAAGAGAGAGAAAGTTAAGAGAAGCTCGCCTTAGCACCACAGAATAAGACGTAGCGGGAACGAACAGAGATTTCTAGCGCAGGGAGGAAGCCCACTTACAAGGCAAGTTAGTTACTTTCATCCACCAATAATACGTCTGTCCCAAAAATGCTTATCTAAACAACAGAAGCTGTGAAGAACCAGCACTTATTCATCCTAATCGTAATAAACTATCCTAGATTGTTTCATAGATCAAAACCATGCATTTCACTACACGCCTACAGTTTTCGTATACGTGCGCTTGTGCTCAAACTGGGCATTACGACCATTTTGGCGACTCATAGAATAAACTGATGGTTCTTTCTTTCGTCCCGTCTTTCAGTACCTCGAGCAGCGCTTCAAATCGCGGCTCCTTAGAAAAATTGCCTCGATCCTATTCATCATTCAACAGGTAAGGCGGAGATGCAAGCCCGCAACTGGGTGGCCATTAATGCATGAAAGCTGCTAGCACATCTTCACATAATATTGCTTAGCTATCAAAATCGAATTGGTATCAAAGATGAGATTTGATTGGAACTGAATGACCACAACGATGAGCATTGTGCGTGTGCGCAAATGTCCGAGTGCTGGATTGTCTATCGCAGAAGCATGGGAAAATATTAAAATTGACATTTCGAGAGGCAAAGGGTTAAGATGGAACAATATCTTCTTTATCCATATCCTAGTGTATTTATCTTGGGGTCGTGCTGTACGGACCGTCGCTGACACTCGGCTCAGTAACCGGTCTGCCCGTTTGGATATCTGTTATCATCAACGGCATCGTATGCACACTGTATACCTCGCTTGTAAGTAGCTTTTTTTTGAGGCATGTACAAATTTAGACAAAATTATTGTTTTTTTTTTTGTGTTCAGTTATCTACTAGTATAGTCAGCGTAGTCATTTGATTGTGATTTTACAGGGAGGCATCAAGGCCGTGGTGTGGACAGATGTATTGCAAATGAGCTTGATGGTGGTTGGCTTTATGATGGTGTTCCTACCTGGCGTTCTTAAAAGTGGCGGCTTACGAAATCTATTTGACGAGGCTGGCCACTATGGACTACTTGATTTTGAGTAAGCGGGAAGTCATATTTTATATTTATGTATCTGCATAGTTCGTTTCTATACGAATGCTCGTTTGACTTTCCGGTGCAGCTGTTAGCTAATATGCATTATACATACGTCCAACATAATCAAATTTTATTGATGTTTTTTGCGCAGTTTCCGGTTAGACTTTCAGAAAACATTTACTGTATGGGGTGTACTGCTCGGCTGGACCGTCATCTGGGCAATTAATTATTCGTGCAGTCAAAGTATGGTACGTGCTGTACCTACTACGATTATAACATTCAGCAGCATAGCGTATCCTCCAGTTGGTATTGTAGTATTTATATTAAAACAATTTCTGAAGGAAACGTTTCACTTTGTGACATGCGTATTCTGTTCAAAAATATAAAGAGAAAACATATAGAGATAATTAATTTTAAAGAAATACTCGGCGCTTATGTTTTATTAAAACTGTATATAATTTCGCTGTATATATTTTCCTCGATGTTTTTATATGTGTGACCTTCTAGACTTTTCTAGTTAAATATGTTTTTTTTATCGCTTCTCACATCTTCATAAATAGGTGCAACGATACTGCTCAGTTCGATCGGTTGCGCGTTCTCGGGCATCACTGTACGTCAACCTAGTGGGAGTATCTGCTGTTTTGGCCATAGCATGCATCTGCGGCTTGGTGCTGTTTAGCGAGTATAGGTAATAAGTATATAAAAACCACACACACATTCACTTATATATATATATATATATATATATATATATATATGTTAGTCTCCTAGCCAAGCCTAGCCCAAGAGGCCAGGTCACTGCAAGAAGTAGCTTCCCGGGACAACTGTTTACATCAGTAGCGGCGTTAGGTTGTGATCCACGTAGTCGCCGACGCCGGAACAAATGTATAGAGGGGCAGGAGGAAGATCAGACATGTGCTACAGATATCAGCGACCATAAGCCGAACGAAGTCATCCAAGCCGGAAATCTGCCGGTTGCATACTACGAAAATAAACGGAAGTCCGAGGATGCTAAGACTCCTTGTGAGGTTGTCAGTCACGAGGCGATACAGGAAACTATATCGTTAGCTATTGTGAAGGTCGCAGCCATACGGGGGATACGCGAATGTTGCATGGGCGCAGCACAGTTGGTAACGGCGACTGAGTGTCACGGTTAAAAAAGAGTAAACAATAAAGCCGCTGCCGGCTCAAATGCAGTTAGGATATAATAGCCCTGATCGCTAATCGATATATTGTTAACCTCGGATTAGAGGCATGTACCTCAGGCATAAGTACGTGCATTCCGAAACAGGATTATAAGTAAAGTATACGAAATAGAAGATAGTGTTAGATATTTAACAGTCGAAAAACTCCGAGAATTTGTTTTCATTTTGTGTGTAGTAAACGTTAGTTAGAGGATTCAGATAATTTTAGAGAAGATTAACTGTTTTAATAAATTTGCACTAATGAACCCTAACCGTCATGAAATCGCAGGACTTGCGACCCAATCAAGGCGGGGCAATTGAATAAATACGATGAACTCATGCCGCATTTCGTGCTCCGAAGATTCGCTGCCTACCCAGGACTGGCAGGTAATTAACGAATCAAAGACGTAAAAAACAGCCAGTTTCAAATTCTGTTGTTATCGACACTATATATGAAAGATAGAACTAGACTCTTGCAGTGAAAATGACCAACGACATTTCCCGTACTAAACAAGCATGTTGGACAGAAACAGCACCACTAATAATACGTGCCTCGTAGAATAAATAGATTTGTCCACAATTTTTTTGTAGGCTTGTTTGTATCTGCGGCCTATTCCGGTTCGCTTAGCACAATGTCTTCGGGCTACAACTCTTTGGCAGCACTTATATGGGAAGATTTTTTAGTTTCCTGCCTGGGAAAACGGCTTTCCAGTAAAGCCACTATTCGCCTCACTAAAGGCATTGGTAAGCAAGGTATTTTCTTTACATTAGTTCTTCGGCAAATTCTCTCGAAAGGCCGTGCTGTGCTTTCTTTAGCATCGATTGAGACTTAATAACAGTAGAAACGTTGCGCAGACGTATCTTATAATGGTAATCTCTTCATCATCGTGAGCTCTTTGTATATTTTCTATGATAAATGGTAAGCACGGATTAGCATTTAAGTCGGTTTGTGTGTTTTTTCCTGTTATCGTGAGATTGTCCACTCAATATATTTCTATTCGACGTTACTGGTCGTTTGCATTTACTAAAAATCATTATTGTACTTCATACGTGTTCGCGCGCTGCTCTTCAGCAACGTTCTTTGGTCTGTTCACCATGCTTATTGCCTTTATGGCATCGCACCTTCGTTCGATTGTGCAAGCCAGCATAGCGACAGGCGGATCGTTCACTGGCGGAGTCGGTGGACTGTTTTTCCTCGGAGTTCTATTTCCATGGTGCGGTAATCGGGTATGTATTCCGCGCGTAAAATACTCGGATTAGATAGAACTGTCGTTAGTATGTGAAAAACTACGTTTAATAACGAATTATTCGCTCATTTTTTTGGCGGGACCGAAATTTCTGATCGCTGCCTATTAATAGCAAAATCTCATTCAGCGGCGCTAAATTCGTTCAAAAATCGGGATAATAGCTTTTTTTGTTGCTCGTTTTGTCTTAAAGCATTAACAACCAAACATAGAAGGGTATAATGCTGCAGCATCGAACAGAGCCGATATAATATTGTTATCTATGTCTATGGAAACTTCTACTAAAACATTTCGTGTTCTAATTTTGTTCCTTGATTTCCTTAGGCTGCCCTTACATCGTTGCTCGTGGGAGTTGGTATTGGTCTCTGGGTCTCTGTGGGATCTTTACTGATACCTCGGCCTCCAGTCTACTCGCAATTCACGTCGGTGAAGGACTGCTTCTCAAACTATAATATCACAATATCTGTGCCGATTACGACTGTGCCAAAGCCTCCACCAAGGTAGTTCCACTAGCTAATTGTTGATTTTATTTATGCAGTATTATTTCCTATGGATATTTACGATGTGACGCCATATTACGCTAGGTTTGGTTTGATTTTGATACGGCGAAGCGGCTGTCTTCTGTGTAATCTCAGGGAAACCTAAAATTCATTACTAGAAATAGGCTTTTTTGCTTGTACCATATGGATGGTATGGGCGGACAGCTGAACTAGTCACATTTTCCTACACGAATATAGCTAAAACCCCTGTTTGGGTGATATTGACATTAGAATAATTATGTCAATAGGCCACAAATATATAATTTTTGTCTCATATGTTTGCGCGTTCTCTGACGGAACCACACGAAAGCCAACACCTGTTGGCAAAAAGGACAATTCCTTGCCTGTACAATGTATAAGTGCATCATTTTATTCCTAGTTCTAATTAACTTGGTTGTTAATTTACCACAAATTTCAGCATCTACACAATATCATACATGTGGATTCCCGTCATTAGCTTTGTTGTCACTTTCTTTCTTGGCGTCCTATTTACAGCTGTACAAGGTATTAAACGTTTTCTTTCTCATTTTTAAAGATGTATTTCGAATCAGATCCGAGTTAAAATCGACGCAAGCATGATAAACGTATTAATGTATTAATTGTACTTTATTGGATCGCATTCAAACTCTAAAGCATCCTCCTACATGCGTTTCGATACTCTAGAATATATAGCCTTATTGATTAAGAATATCTTTATATGCTAAAAAGCTTAGATTCTAGCGAAGAAAAAAAGATCTATTAGCCGTACTGAGAGCTTCTCTAGGAGATAATAAAAAGTAACTCTATTAAATATAACAATGAATACGCTTAGCGCCTTTCTTTGATGCGCGACCCGTAGGGCTCAAACATTCCGCGGCCGTGGACCCGCGTCTAGTCAGCCCCGCTCTTCGGGGATTCTATAAAAACTGGCTCAAACGATTAAAAGCTGAACGAAGTCTCAACAGTAAAGTGGACACCATGATATCCTCTATATACAGGGTAAGCCATACATGAGAACACATGCCTTTCAGTATATATATAATGTGCGTGTGTACCGTTACCACGCTAGTTTTATGAAAGCACAAACGTCCTATGCGATTGCTTCCATTATATAAGTATTATGAAATAATAAGACTATTTTTCGAGTTAAATTTTTTTTTGCTTATTGGTTTCGTATATTAGATAAACTGGCTCTGAGTTGATTTATAAATGGTTGGCGAAGCAAGCAGTACAGCGTTGCTTAAAAAGAGGCAGAGGCTGTTCCTCCCAAAAGACGTAAATCCATCTGAACACAGGGTACTATAACAAAAGAGAGCCTAAAAATAAAACTTATTGGTCTAATCTATGTCTTGGGCATTATTTTCCGTAGGTTCACCTAATATCAGGGCCCTCAGCTAATAGTACGCTGTCAGCTACATCGACACACCAGCGCTGCTCTACAGTGCAGAGTCTACCGTCGAATCAGCGATTGGCAATCGGTATGCCAACTCATGTATCACCTGCAGGTCCCCCCATTGGAGTTACACCAAACAGCGCCCTTCTGCAATCCACCGGTGAAATGCGAGCAGCACATTCGTTGTACAATCTCAATACGTTGAGTTCCATAAACACACTCGAGTCAACGACGACCGCGACACTTACCCGCTCACTAGCTTCATCCTCGTCCAACTCGGACAACAATAATCACAGTCATCCTACGATCGGCAACAACGGTAGCAATAACAACAGCCATGGTAGTAACGGTCATCGTAGAACTAGTGGCAGTGGCCTGTCACATAACGCTACTGGGAATGGTCCTGTCGCAGAAAATGCTGCAGCGACGTCTAGCCGTTCTGCTTTGAACGGCGGGGGTGGAGCTGGGGCTGCTGGTGGCAGCACAGTCGGCGGAGGTTTCCTTGTTCCTGGCGACGACGCGATCACTGCACGAGCAGATCCAACCGTAATTACCTACGTTTGAAACAAACCCCAGACGATGCTCCATGTGGATGGAATCTATGGTAAAGCGACTGATGTTGTTGATTTTGTGTCTTTAAGTTATTTTACCGATAACATTTCTATCAACTGCGATTTCTGTTACACGCAGATACGCACACAGGCACACTTGTTGGTTGATCAAGATTTCGCGCGATGTAATGTAGTCGTGTAATATGTCGTGTACTTATGAAAATCGTTACGTAGGAAAAGATGAATTTCTATTCACTTCTTAATAGTACAATGCGAATAGCACGCTACGAGTAGAGAGCTTTTCATCACTGGTATTTTTATCAAAGTAGTGCATCCATTCGTCATTCTTTCTAGAAATACGTTGTTCGAATCGATACTACTATAAACAATTGCGCTGCTTAAAAAGCAATGGTTAAAACTTCGATAGCTCTTTACACGCGCACCGTCAGAGGCTTGCATCTGCATGTATAAGGCAGGTAATGTGGCAGGGCACTCGTGATGACGAAATAGCAAGTGCTATTAAAACAAGTGATATTAGAAGTGTTGTTCTTTCGAAGAGCTATCCATATTATATTTCGGAAGTTATCGCTAAGCTATTGTTCGTCGAGTTCAACAGTATTAATATTAAAATCATATAATATTAAAATATTTTAAAAAATGTTGAGAATTTGAATTGTTTGCTCTTGATGCGGCTATACTTTGACCATTTCCTGTTATCTTCTCTCTTCAAACTCCACAGCGTGTCTCCACATATCTCGTTTTCTATCATCCGCTATCGTTACGATTAGACGTAAGTAGGTCACGAGAAAGCCATCAATGACGACGCTCAACTTCCTACATGGAACAAAGCCCATGGAAGCATTGATCAAAATCACCGTCAAAAAGAAGTTCTGCATTTTGTCCAAAACGGATTGATATTGTAAATAGAAGATGTGAACGATCATCGAGACAATTCTAAGTGTTCACACCAAAGAGTCACGCGCTGTTTCTTATATAGATATATATATATATATATATATATATATATATATATATATATATATATATAGCCTTTAACATGACATATGTATTTTTGAAGCAATAACAACGAATTGAATCAATAAATTTCATTGTATTTCTGTTGAAAGAATATAAACCTATTAATTGCTTTAGGCCAATTAGATGGCGCATACTATACATTTCGTAGTGCTCGCTTAGTCCTGCAAGTGTTTACAAGCATACAATAACTACTGTTCATTTTGATTTGTACGATATCCATACGATACAACGATACCCATAACATATACTAGCCACTATAATTACAGGTACAATCTGTCAAGAGTTCAGGCAACCAGGTACAATACATGGATTAACCATGAAACGATCCTCAGCTGTCAACTTCAAAGTTTACTAATACAGAAAACCGTAATCGCTATTCAAAAGAAACAATTTGTAAGTAGAGTGTAGAGAGAGAAGTATCGAAATTTATTTGGCCCGATCGAGGCTGAAAACTATTGACAGTCGACAGCTAATTGTACCCGCTGGAGGTGTCGTATGGTGCTCCGTGCGTAATCTTCATTGTGCACTTCATCGCTTCACAATCACTGGTACAGATAGTTCTTATCCATTTCAGTCGAATACACTTCTTATAGATTCTAACAAAAACGTATTGGCACGAAATGCGGCACGTAATTGCTGAAGCTGCAACTTTGGCACGTTAAGGCTTACCTTGACAGCAATGCTTAGCGTCAACGACCTGAACCTCAAATTTAAAACAGTGGAGCAGGCAACGTTGGAGGTCCTCTAGCTTCTATTGCAATTGGTTTCCTATCGTCTTGAGCAGCACAACCTGATCATATCCATAACGCGTCGCTACTAAATATGGCCCGAATAGTACCACGGCCAAAATTGTTCGTATCGATATTTAACGTACAATTTCCATAAAGAGTACCAGGTATTATATCGTAATCTAGTTGTCGTCGACAGCGTGAAATGTTTTAGACTTTTTTAGGGGTAGAAGACGCTATCAATGTAACTATTTATTGTTGTATATCACGTTCACAGTATTCCAGTATAAAGGCTATTCAAACCGCATGCCAAATATAAGCGTTCGTCTTCAGCTAGAGTAATAATAACAATAATAAAGACGCACAGACACCCATGTGAAGTATTACATGCCTCAGCTTGATCTCTTTTATTAGTTGATATTTATATTACTTCACAAATAACTGTATGTTCGTGTACGAAGAACATCTGTTTCTACACCTACTATGCGGTTCTCTCCGTCTCGTTTATCGTGGTCATTATGGCCACATTCCACATCTGTGACCGTCTTCAGCGACTACGCGCACTCACTACCTTTAAGTGGACAGGACTAACGGTACAAGATGCTAGACTTGAACATATATCAATGATTGCATCATTCTTAGCCTTTGCAACATTTGTGCAGACGACGGCCTAATTTTACCTTGTTTCTTAACCCAATCGCGCTTGCTAACTCTGACTACACCCTCATAATACAGGAGAGTGTGCACCCATTGTGCTTGATTATTTTCTCGCATAGTACACTTGAAATGCGTTTATTCAATTGTTGTTCGATTGCAGTTCACTGATCAATATGTATATAATTTTCTTTTATGCCCCTTTGTTGGCTATATCATCACCATCCTTGCCCGCGTCGTCATCATAGTTCTTAGTTGTGTTATTATTGTCATTCTTTTGAAATAGCACCGGATATGGCGGAAAGCCCCACGTGTTGTAAAAGTATAACAGTAGTCTGTTCTGATCTGTTCGTATATAATACATAGGGCTGAATTGACCGACATGTTGAAAATGACGTGCATTCTATTCTCAACACTGACCCACTTTGCCCCGTCAGAAAGGTATATATATGTATATTTATAAGAGAAAGAGCAACTAACAAATTTCACAATTACAGAAATTCAATGAATTACACCTCTGTTGCGTCAAACTGTGCGTTGTGCCACCCTCGCGTAAAGTTTTAACTTCAGTAGTTTCATCACCTTTATAAAGAACGTTTATACCAGGAACTCTCGTAAAGCAAAGAGCAATGCAAGTAGTTAACGAGCAGACCAGTTTACAGATCTTCACAGAATTGCTACCGATTTTCCATCTGTCGACTTGATGGAGGCTGCAAGCGATACCATGTATAATAATCATTCGTTCGGCTTCGTTGCAAGTTCCTAATTTTAAGCGAAAAATATAAAATGTCAATTCCCTGTTAGTTATCTGGAATGCTAAACGGCCAATGTTATAGACAGCGCTACGTCTATGCGGGCCTGGAAAGATGGAATGAAGATTAGCAGCAAAATACTATTTTAGCATCTATAATGCCTATTTATGTGTATTTCATACTGTGCTCTTACATAATAAAACTTGTTAAATGAACAGTAATATTGAAAAAATATATGAATATAGTCCAACCATCACCTTCCTTACGGCTGAGTTGTTGATAGTCACATGACATCGTTCAGCATGAGACCAGCTGCGAGCTGACATGTTCGCTGAACTGTTTCTTTGTGGAACTGCAATTAGGCCATTGTCGTATGGTATTTTGGACCGACAGCTATAGCTGTAAGCCTGGGGGTACTTTCTATTTGACTCCTTTCTTTGGCAAAAACCGAGTCAACTCATCTGACTATCCGGTTGTTCTCAAGTGTAGAGGCGTCTACACGCGTGTTTTACTGCATTAGATCAGTTCATTTGCTCAAGTGCTAATACGATTTGCACAATTACACCAACCTATGCGTGAGTGGACACGTCCAACTCGAGGATGTCCTTGTAACTTCAGTCTGTGGTCTGTAACCACAACATTCGCATTTGTCCATAAACTGGACACCACTTGAACAGCAATATCATGAGAGTACCCTTAAAGTCACAATTAATATAATAATGGTGATGATAGTTGATGCGCAGCTCAAACGCTGAAATTCGTTGGGGAGACTTCACGGATAGTTCGGTTTAGTGAGGCGCATTTGCAGCCGCACGGGCGGCGTAAGTTTGTAACCCGCTCGCGGTCGCCTCAAACGCAGAGTTGTCTAACTAGCGTCTGGCGACTCGTTCGTAACTTTGCCATTCCTGTTGTCGACGAAGATCGTCGGGGTACGCGCTGTCGCCGTTGTTACCGTATACCCTGTTGTACATACCGGCAGATACTTCGGCAGATGCTAGCGACGAGCCCATGTCAGTAGAATAGTCGCGCGGCCCCGCAGGCGACCTGCGATAGGAGTCGTCCCGGCGACTGTACAGTCCCAACTCTTCGTACGCATTGACAGTTGCTGGCCCGCGTGACTCAAAGCGACTCGAGGCCACGTAGGCAGCACGATCATAAGCGCGACTGGCATAGTCCGGCTCTACGTAACGAGCTCGCTTACCTCGAGGCTCATCAAGATAGTCGGGATTGACCCGGTTGCTCGATGCTGGTAGCCGCGAATTGGGACCAGCGAACTCGGCTGCCGCAGCCACCGCGCCTCGGGATCTTGGAAAAGCTGCCTTGTTGTTGCTGTTGTACGATGCCGGCGCGCCGCGATTATTATGCTGATGCTGCTTACCACCACCACCACCACCACCGCCGCCGCCGCCGCCGCCGCCGCCTCCTCCTCCTCCGCTTTGGACGCCACTACGTCCTCCGGCTCCGCCGTTTGAGCCACCGTTCGAGAATTTATTATGACCGCTGGTGCCAGAACCCCCGTTCGAGAACTTATTATGGCCGTTCGTGCCACCGCCGCCAAATTTCTTCGACCCCTGGCCGCCCTTACCCCTTCCGGAGCCACCTCTTCTGCGGCCACCGCGCGGCTGCGAGCCCGAACCCGGCACCGGATGTCCAGCCTTTAGTAGGGCTGCCTTGGCCAGCTTCTGCTGTTTGCGCAATCGCTGCTCATCAATCTGCGACTGCTTTTTGGCCTTTTGGTCGCGTGCGACTTGCATCTCTTTGGCCGATGCCTCCATCGACTTGAGTTCATCGCCGGTCAGTTCAAGCTTCTCGCAAAGAAACTTCTTAAGCGATTCGCCAACAAGCTGACCACCTTTTGGCGTCCACATGGCCTCATTAGTCTCCATGGTACCCTCGCGGCGTGAGATATAACGTAGATCGAGCAGACGGAGCCAAGGAGTTTTCGCTGCCCAGTCCGCCATACGCTCATTGATCTCGCGGGCTTCGGCGTTGAATGCCGTTTCTGGTAGCGTCGCCCAGCTCACCGATAGGCACTTGTCGTGGATGTGGATTTTCTCTAACAATCCCTGCACCTTCGTTATGTATGCACCTCGCTCATAATCCTCTTTCGTGGTGTCGGTTAGACCGCCGAACCAGAGCGTGTGGAAGCCACGTCCAGTGACGCTATTATGGTCCAAGCCGATGAGCAGGTGTTTTGCCATGCCGTCGACACCATCGGTAGCTTTCGTACGCCAGAACGAACGCGGAGCCCGACCAATTTGATGGAACATGTTGTACGGAGACTTGCGTAGTTTCGCGAACATGCCGTCGGAGATAGCCATGAAGTGTGGGCGTGGATCGGGTGCCGGTGCTTCCTCAATACGGGCGACTACCTGTACACCGCCTTCGATCTGGCCCTCGAGCTCGGCGATCCGAGCAGTTTTCTCAGCAACCTGTTTCTGGCACTCGGCCAGCTGACTTCGCAGCTCACACACGTCGCATTCAGCGGCCTCATCGTTCTTAGCCTCTAACTCAATGGCTGAATTGTAGCACGACTCGCACATCACGATCTCATTGGACGTATCGCCAGATTCGGCGGATTCAGTGGTCTCCGGCTGGGGCGTTTCCGTAGCCACTGCGTCTGCCGATTCTGAGAACGCCTTCTGGAGGCTCTCCGTCTTTGTTGCGTCCATCGTAACCGTAATGGCAAACGCAGTTAGAGCAATCAGAAAGCCACAGTAATACCACAGATAGTGCGGATTATTATCTGTGCGAGTCACTTATCTTAGTACTAGTTCGGTAAGCTAGTTAGCTAGCCACCAGATACCAAACAACTGCACAATATAAGCGTGCTACAAATTAGCCGACGAACGGATTTGGGTTAGTTGGGCTGAGAATAACACTGCGCAATGCACACACACACACATACACAGTTTGTTGTCGCTGGCGAGCACAACGTCCGAAAATCGATCAGGGCCACAACTGGAAGTTACGTTTGCAGAGAAACTGAAAACAATTCGAATCGTGCCCCTGTTCAAACGGAGCTCGCTATGCCTTAGCGCACAAAAACCTTTTTCCCGCAGATCGCATACATCGAATACGATACGACTAAGTATTATGCGTTAATACAAGTCACTCAGTGAAGTTTTTCCCTCTCTCTCTCTCTCTCTTTCTCTCTCTCTCGAGATGTCCGAGATGATGGTAGGTCTCGTATGAACCGTGAGGCACAAAAATGGCCGGCCAATCACAGCCAACAAGCGACGAGCGAAAGATAAACGATCGAATTGAACTGGTGGTGATAGATAACGTAGGATGGTTTGCGCACCGATTCACACACCCGATACGCGACGCAATGACAGCTACAAATGCTACGAAATGCGGCTGACGGGCACGTTCGATCCCGGTAAACGCGCTCCCAAAATGAGTGTTTTCGTATCAACTACTGCAACGCCTGCTGCAACGATGACATGACATACTAGAGCAAGCCAAAGGCGTAAACAGGCGGTGCTTCGAAATGCTGGCGCGAAACCACACATTCATTCGGATTCGACGCTTAGCGTAGGCAAGTGATTGGAAAATGGACCGATGGATTCGACTACAGTAAGTAGGCCGGCTGGAAATGTGACATTCCGCATGTATTGAATATATAAGCTGACTGTAGCGATAAAAAAAAGTAGTAACCACGAAATAAATGTTTTGAGATTTACGCTCGGAACTGCGTTAGTATAAAATCAGCCCGAACAAAGCGGTTTCATAAAGGAAACGTAGCGCGCCAAGTTTCAACTTGTAGGAAAATTTGTTTACCACTTAATTTGCTTTATATATACGTAGTTATGGAACTTTATATACATGCAAGCATATGTACAAGCATAAGCACATCTCTGTATCGGGCTATGACAAATCTTGAGATCGTATTAATATGATTACACGTTATATTCTACACCATTAATGTCTGGCAAGATAAAAAGCTACTCAATGTTAGAGGGAAGTCAATAGGCATAGAGTAGTAAAATAGCTATCCAGTTGTTTCTTATAATACTTCTGCATTGTCTATGGAAAAGACTTTTTTTTTATTTCGAAACGCCTGACCAGTTTTTTTTAAAAGGCCTTTTTAAAAGGGAGTTAAAAATTATATGTTACATGCGTGTAGATGTGCTATAATCTGCATTCATATGAGCCAATTATATTACACTCTTGAGTAAGTTGAACATATATATATATATACACACACACAAAGGATCTAACGCTTTTATTATTTAATTAATAATTTAATCTTAATTTCGCAAAGCGCATGTTACAAAATATTCCCTCACTGACTTTAAAATAATCTGGGAAAAATTATTCTTTCCAGCAATGGCTGAGAATTTATAAAATGTACAACTCTAAAAATGACTTCCCTTTTAAGCTCTACATAAAGAACACAAAAATAGACTTTTAGGAAAAACGAAAGATATTTTCACTTTTTGCCAAGGAGCCAAATATGATATTGTATTTGGCTGGCAATTGGAAACGATGAAAAATGTGTGAAAACGGATTGTGGACAAAAAAAAGGATGATGGTAACCCTACGGGCCTGAGTAAGAATAGGTCGATATTTTGCGTGTATACTTAGATATCTAGAATAGAGGTTAGGGCAAATGTCTTACATATATGGTTATACATTGCACAGATGTAAAATGAAGACTCAAATTCTCAGAAACTTTTGCCCTGCGCTGCATACTGTTTTGCCATGACAAATCTACGCATACATGGACTGTTTTTTGAGAAATTAATGTGATCGGTTTGACTCACTCGTGAAATTTATCTGTGAGGCTGGACATTTAACCTAAGCGTTAAACGAATGAGCAGAAACGAAACGTGAGTGATCATAAGGAAGTTAGTAGTGGAACTTCGAATGTGGATTTTTCTGGCCGTATTAACGCTAAGGCTATACAGTTTACGTAGGTATCTTTTCAAGCTTGGATTTATTAGATATATGAACTCGGATTTCATCTATACGTTTACAAGTATATAGCAGTCCACTTCATTCGCCGTAATTTAACATATGTTGTCATTGAAGCTGTTGTCACGACAATCAGAATATGCAACGTTTCAAATAGTAAACGCAATTTAACACAATATATTTTCTTTATTTTTCTCACTTATTTATAGAATTTTTCATTTTAATTGCTTAAAATATGACGAAAACAAATGCAAGGTGTAACTTCAACTCAAATCGATAATATTCCCGTCAATTCCTTTTCTGCATAACGATTGATATTTATGATAATTTGTATACGAATAACTTATGATTAGGTACAACTATTAACGGTTTAAAATTAACCGCCGGCTTTATATCTATCGTTGAGTGATTCAATTCAATGCTGTACCACAGTTCGCTAAGCTCAAAGTACCCGATCAAATTAACTGCACCATAGACAGTCCATGTCCTCCGATCGGAATGGTGCAATAGTTATTATGTTTTCTGCGCTTTCAGCCAGCATTTATAATTATCGCTGAGTTACTGCCTTGGGTGAATTTACATGAAAATGCACCATCGATGTGGCAGCTCCAGATACATCAGCGTTTTCAAATAAGTTACGATTGACTTTTACATCAGCAGCCGCATCGGCAGTCCGGAATGGTATTGTGCGAAGCTCGTGAGGTTTGGAGAGATTACACTTGTCGCTAGCCTTATCGTTACTTACCTAATGACCTTAAGTCCATCAGCGTATTGCGTACAGCCTAGCTATATTGGCTGCGGAAAACGGAGTAACTAATTAATCATCTTAGTGATATACATCTGCGAATAACATTAGAGGCAACGGTAAAAACTATTATTTGTGAAACCGTACGTTTTCCTATAGGTGTTTTATTTGCGACTTATTTGCCAGTTATAGCAGAAAATCACAATAATTCTAGTTATATGTACAACAAGTAGTTACAGAAATCATTAGTTATTCATCAAAAGTTCTTAACGTAACGTTTCTTTGCCACACCTATTATGAATCACAAACAAGCGTGCGCCTTAACTATTTTTCTCGCTTTTTCTTCTAAGATTCTGGCAGTAATATGGGCAGACTTTATAATGTCTGCCCATATTAGTACCAGAATCTTCGAGGTTCGGAGCAGAGTCCCAAAGCAAGTGTTTGGTTCTCAAATAAACTCGAAAATGGTGGCGCCTTTTCATGGTCGTTCAATATACTGGCCAGGCAAATCGTATTGAGCGTTGGGGTTCTCAATAAGCCAGCGGCCGTAACAAACCACGAGGACCTGGTTCGAACGTCATTTTCGGTGGTTAAACCGTTTAGCTCTCAGCCGAAGCGTTGCTTGTACTCGGCGGGATATTCATAACTCTGCACATAATTTCTTGAGAGTCTTCTACAATCTGCAGTATCTCGTGCTGTTGTCGTTTCAATTCTTGAAGCCTGTAGTGATTAGGCAAACTACGTTAGTGTTCGATTTTCGTTAGTAAATCTCCGTATGTATGTACGTATGGAGGAATCAGTCAGTGACGACACAAGTTGCCTTCAGATGAGAAACGTCACAGAGGTTATTCATGTCTTATAAACATGTAGGCGGGTTGGCAAGCGCATTAGTGGTAATATAGACTTCAGCTCACTCGATAAGCAATGTACGCGATACGCGTGACCTGCTACAATATCCATCGGCGGTGATCATTGTGCCGTTCGGGGGGGAGCCATTAGACAAAGCTTCGTCAGGAAAACGAGCCTTGAGCACGTTGACGAACTGTGATACCAACTGATCAAACTCATCCTCGGTCTGAAAATTCACAATGAGTAAATACTGACGCATATTAGCATTTTGTATTACTTAGCGCTCGTGCAATTATATAACAATAATTTAAAAAAAGGTATGGAAATTGGCATTACCTGGATAGTTCTGACATAGCTTTACTTAAGTTGCTAATTCTCTATGCACCTTTAATAATCACTTTCTAAGAAACTATTGAGTATTTGCTTTTTTGATTTATGAACGATTCGTGTAGAGATATGCTAGCTGGTTATTAACCTTAGCAGCTTGTGCGTGCCACTGGGAGGCGTTCCCAAACGATTCCACTACTAGACCGAGCTGTGTCGCTTGTCGAAGATAGGGTAGGGCTTCTCGGTACCAGGTATGAAAAGCCTGGGCCAAACGCGTCGTCGTAGTTAAGCTTCGGTCCTGAAGGAGGGACATTAGCCTCACACTTGTCTGTTGCATCTTGTGTCTTTTACGACATAATCAAGTGATGATTAAATTGTGAGTAAGGGTAATGACGATCAAGGGGGAAAAACTATGTATTATCATGGAGCCATTTGATATTAGTGTTTCAATTCAATAAACTTAATTGAATAAATGCAGACTTGAATTATAAACGAGGAAATTCAAAGGTACCATACTTTTCAAGTACGTGGAATTGCTCGTCGTGGTAGGACAGTGTCTTGGCCATTTTGTCTCTTGCTAGGGCTTGCCAATTCTCGCGGATCTGCGATCGGTATTCGTGAAAAAATAACAAGGCTTTATTAACAAGCAAAATCAGTTTAACCTTAGGAGAAACTTTTTCAACATCCCATTAGACAAATTTCTTCTTTAGTTAGGACCGATTAGAGAACCTAGGTGAATTCTATTTGATTCGTCCTTGCAACATTTTTCCTAGGACACATTTTTATTTATAAAAAGTGAAAGGCAATACAAGGCAGTTGTTACCTTATTGACATAGGTTGCAGCCGTTTCGTCATAGCCTATAACAGATCCACATTCCGCTTTTCGGACTTTCCAAATTCGATACAAAGGCTGACCGCCGACTACTTTTGTTTCTAATGCTGACGTCTCTTGATCAGCCCGTTTCAGACTTTCTGAAACTGCGGGTAGCATTTTTGCAACACGATATGACATACAACCTGTTAACCTAAATATTATAACACAATGTACAGCTTTTTTAAAAAGTACTGGAAATAACTTTTGGTGAAAAGCGACTATTACCTTCTGGATATCTATAAATAAATGAAATCGTGTACATACGGGATGAACGGCAGATGCGTAGTGGTATTACGTTTAAATGTTTTGAACTCTGTAAAGCTTTCTTCATGCCAGGTCAAGTTACGTTGATTTCACTATAAGTGAAGGACAATTTATGTATAAAGTTATTTTCAAATAATTTCGAAGTTTTAAGTGATACAGTAAATGTACTTAGCTTCGCTTTCTAATTGTTCGGGACATTTTTCATGTAAACGTAGTTTTTATTCCTTTAGCGTTAATCGTTCCAACTTGCGTTCTTAAAGTTACCCCTTTTCGGATGGTTTAGACAGTAATTTACAGTTACAAAGTCGTGTAAATCTGAATACGCTGGAAGTTGTCATCATATCGATTCTACCTACCAGCGACGACATTCTGCTGTCTTTGTTGTATGAGCGCATGAATTTTGTCAAGCTCAGCGCACGGAGTCGGCACGAGCGGTCTCAGATCGGCAATATGCCTTTCACTTCTTGAGATCAATGCCAGCTGACGCTCCAGGGCACAACTGTGAAGCTGTGCAGTAAGCACGTGCCGCCGTAGCTGGCCTATCAATGTTTCGAGGTGTTGCGCTAGTTGTAGGGGCGCCACAGAGAGGTGGGCATGCGCCCGAGACAAGCGCTCCACTTGCCGTTTAATTGCGTGACTAACACTGCACCAGATTTTCGCCGTGGCTGCATCCTCATCCAGGACAACCGCCTGATTGAAATCTGGATACTTGAAGCCATTTTCCAGCTCTTGACTTGACAGCGACGCCGAAACACTGACATCGCAAAGCTCTCGATTGAAAAGGAACACGGGATGGGAAATATTCGTTTCCGGAACGCTAGCCGCTCCTGAACTACTTCCACTACTAGCGCCAGCGATGTATTGGTCGAAAAGTAAATTTTCAAAAAATACCAGCTGGTTTTTGCCTAGAACGCCCGATTGCTTGAAGACGTGTTCGGTGATATCCGACGCCAGCTTTGCTGGCTTATGTAGACTATTATTATGAAGATAGAGTACGAACTCTCGACACTCGTTCACGTAAAATACGTGCACACGCTTGGCCGAAAGGATTTTGGTGGTTTCATTGAAAAACTTATCAAACGACCACATTTTAGCGCTATCGCACTCCATCAAACCCGCGAGAATTGGGACAAGAAGCTTCTGCAGGCCAGTACTTAGCAGACAGCTTTTGGGAAGGTCACGAGACCATTCAATGGATGAAGTCGTGTGATCCCTTTGTACTCCGGAGATTACGCCTGAATCCTTTTTCGTAGTGATATAGTGCATCACCTAAGACAAGTAAAACAATGAACTAATATTAAACCGTATCATTTTAGAAAAAAGTTGAAGGAGGGTGGTTGATTATGCACTAGAGACGGTAAGAGCTACAAATCAACTTGTAGGTATGATAGTCCGAAAACACTATTGAGAAAGCTTTCCAAAAAGCCTCGCGCACGTTACACTGAGCAATATGAAGAGTCTTACTTCGCGATTTCTCCGACCACCGTATGGACGGAACGGGAGATTTCCTGTGGCTACATGATAAAGGGTGACCCCAATACTCCAGAGATCGACATTTGAGCTGAAGCGCTGATCTCCGTGTTTGCGAAGGACAGCGCGTTCGTACATGGCTGGATGCTAGAGAAACAGAAAAGGCAAACGAAAAGCAACCCGTATAGAGAACAAAACACATTATCTCCATCCAGCATTTTCTCGTATTTTTTTTTTCAATAACAAAACTTTCTAGTGGATTATTATCAAAGTTTATTCATGAAAATCGACAGTTTGAGTTTTATTTGATTGCTTCTGATGGAGAAGTTGCTTCCGTGTATTAGTATATGCATTTATGCAAATTGGTGTTGGATGCCTACCAAATATTCTTCTGTACCATAGAGAGACATGAATTGTTGATCTTCCTCAAGCTCCCGGGCGGCGCCGAAATCGGTTAACTTGTAGATTGAACGGCCGTCTTCAGCTACGTACTTCATAATGTTACCCGGTTTCAGATCACGGTGGATGACGCTGTTTATCGATCATAAGGTCACATGACAGGTTGTTGTAAGTTGTGGTATCTCCTCGCACAGAAGAAAGAGCGTGTTTAAATCAGTCTTTTTTGTAGGAGACAAATGCAAGCTGAGTTGCCGGTAAAATTGAAGGCGAACCGAGTATTGAACGTAAAGCAAAGTGTTGTTTTACGTAAGAATCAGCATAATGCTAAAAAATGGGGATATCGTACCTGTTATCTCTGAGGTGTTTCATGCCAGCTGTGAGGTCTTTAAGCACAAGTAGAAATTCCTCTTCTTCGAGTCCGTACGAATTTAGAGGGTCGTCGAGAATAGAAAACAATGAGCCGCCGGTGCAAAGCTCCATTACCAGGATCTAACAACAAAATCAGGTTTAACTGTAATTATCAGTTTGACTAATCAAAATATTCAGAAACCTAAATGAATATAAAGGGATTTGTATTATAATTGTTCGAGCGTCGTTCGTTAACGTTTTTTGAAAATAAAACAGAAATAATTCATTTCCAGAAGAGAGCGTTTTTCTCACTTCTCAGCCGCTCTTTCTGTGAGAACAAGTCCGGAACAATATTAGGGGTCTATCTTACTATTAGATTATATAGTGTAATAAACGTTCATTTCACTTTTGAAAAATGACGTTATTTTGTACCGGTGTGCCATCCCGCAATACCTTTAATCGTGTTCCAGATCCGCTAGTACTTTTTGAAAGCTGAGATTGATTACTCGGATATCGTCACTCGGACTTTTAGTCGCGAGTGGTGGTAAGCTATAAAAAATAAAAAAATTGAAATAGTTTTCGAATATGAATCCCATCCTAGAAGTACAGTAATGGAGGCAACTTGCCGCTTAAACTCTGAGAATTCTACCGCTAGAAACACCGTAAGCCGCTGGTTCGAAAAATACCGGCAAGGAATTCCGGCGAGGATTAAGGAAAGGACGTAGAAACGCTTGCCTGCGTTTGCTGTTGCGTTACAACAGTCACCCCTTCACGCATCGAACAATGGCCTAGGTTACGAGTCTTTTACCCTAATTCCAGACGGTAACATCACTGTGTGAACGTAACTGAATGGACAAGATATCACCCTAAAGCAAACGTACAGCTCCAAAGGTTTATGGTGCCTCTTTGGTGGTCTAATGCAGGTATTATCCACTATCGCTTCAGTAGTCCTAGTCCATCCGGGTTTGTCGATTACGACTCAAGCAAACAACTGTCAACAATTAGAGTAGATGTTGAAAAACTTACATTAAGCAGCCAAGATTAGTGAAGAGCAGTAAACCATTCCTATTGCACATCAATGCTCGACCTCGCACCCCCAAGAGTCACGGCGGTAAAAGTGTAGGGGTCGCCAGTTTCCTGTCATCCACCTGATTCGCCAGATATCGTCCCCACAGATTTCCATGATGCTTAAGATGATGTAATTAATGACGTCACCCTTCAAATCTTAAAGTGATATCAAAATTGCCTTTCGAGGCTTCGCAAACTCTCGTGCCCCAGATTTCTACAACGTCCAGGTTGCAAAAAATATAGATACGAATAATGAAGACTTCTATTGAGTATAAAAGAAAGGTTTGTGAAAAATTTTGGAAATGCTGACTGGACTTATCTAGGACCATACAACCAGCTTTTTTTAGCAGCTAGTCCAACATTTCTCCCTTAGTAATAAATACTGGTATGCAAAAAGGGTTGACATTTTCGACCTGGGGCTATAAAAGACTTATAGCCCTTTCCGTAGAAAGATAATTTCACGTAACGTTTCATGTTTTTTAGTGGTACTGTGGATTTTATAAAAGAGCATTACGAGGCATATAATGCGATCTAGTCAATAGTGGCACTTTAAAGTAGTAGTTGTTGATCTTTGAAAATGCTTGCCGTTAGTATTAAATAACGTTACAAACCCATACTAGAGGTGTTCGTTAGCGTGTTTGTACATTTAAAATATAATAAAAATGAAGACTTCTGTTGTATAATTTACCTTGGACGCACTTTCGAGGTCCTCTTCTATGGCAATCAATTTCACGATATTTTCATGGTTGACCTTTTTGAGCACGTCGAACTCTCTCATCTGTACGTTTAGCGGCCGATCAAGAGAAATTTTGTTAAACGTCTTCACAGCTACCAGGTCGCCCGTTTTCTGAACAAAGCACACAATATAATAACTCAGATTTGGCATGGGCACTATGGGTATGATAATTCACAGTCTCAATAAGAGCTTAATATCTAAATTGTACGTAACTGATTTGCGCCACAGCCATAATATAGAATACTAGAAAACGCAGTCTTATCACATCAATAATGGCTTTGTAGGATTTCTGCTTGCCCGCGTGCTAAGCACTACGGTGCACGTAAATATTGTAATAATTTTTTTTCTTATTGTTGGAAACTATGTAGCAATAATCGTTATCCATTTAGTTCGCCTGATTATTTTGAACAACTTGTATCGAACAAGTAGATACTTTGTTTTCTAAATCTTTTTACGTATTTCTTAACGTGTATCTAACTAACATATTATATGCGAGACTACAATGCATGCTGATCTGGTCATCCGGAACGTGGACCAATAATACGTGCATCCTAATTTTGAGAATGGTGTCTGTTATTTTTCCCAACAAGCTTTCTCTCTCCTTCTCTCTCTACCAGTCGAAAATTCAATTTGATCTCATGCTGTGTTACTATGTGGCCCTTTTTTTCCCACGTTAGAGCCAGTTTTAGAGGTTGCTTGTTTAGTATTGAATATCAGCATCGGTATCCAGTTGTATCAAGTTCATATGTTTTTTTCAATAAACAAGACTTTTCTAGGGTACAAATTCTCCCAGACGTATACTTGCGACGATCCTGGCGGGACGTGATTATTTTGTACCGTAGAATTATTTTAACGAACGCGGGATAGCGCATAATGCGATTCGAGACATGCTTCTCCTTATATCAAAACCATAGTGATCTACCGAGCACATATCCTATTCGGTGAACGACTCAATTTCGTCGTCACAGAAGGCCGCGGTCGTCATTAGGAGAATACCATTTAAAAAAAGTTTACCTACAACCGATACGACAGCCAACACCCTGTCAGACAAGGACCCATTAAGGTCCATTGCTCCACAGCTCCTCCTATAAATTTTGGCAAAGCGCAGTTACCCAGCCGCCATCGCAGGGCGATAGATTTGGCCGAAAAACTGGAACCGTCAAATCATTACCAGCAAAACATTTACTTGATATTGTCTTAGGTCCTCTCACCACTTGGACTGCAGCCAAAATCAATTATACAGAAAGCGTGCTGTAAACATCGGAATTAAATGAGAAATAAATGATTTTAATGAGCTGTACATATGCACGTTGCTACCGATGTATATGTACGTGGATAAAATTTTAGATCGTGCCTTTTCAAATTTTGAAGAGAAAAGGAACTCTTTTAACCTTCGAAATGGGTACTCAATGCAGTTTCCTGTGGAAGTTGAATATTATCAAGGCTGCTCATAAATCTAAAGTTGCAACGGCAGAGGCCTCGAAACTGCGGTTTTCTGGACCATTATTGGACATTCTGGACATTTATTAAGTTGCTAATTCATGTTATTGAAAAATTTACTCCACAAATAGTCATTTTTCATAATTCATAATAAAATAAGTACTGGGCCTGTGATTTCGTCTATGATTCGCTGTGCGAAGGGTGGAGCTTGAGGCGAACAGGCAGCATTTAAAAGAAACGTTTGGGCTTAACGGGGCGAGAGAATTAATTGTAGATGCAAGCGGGTGCATTGCACTACGGTGTTCCGGCCGTGTTGAGTCACAATGTGTGTATTTTACACATAAATATTATAGAATTGTGGAAAGGTTAATCCCTTTTTACACATGAATTAAAAATGTCAGTAAGTGGCGGCAAAATGAATGCATTTTTGACCGATTTCATAATGCCAAACACAGTCCGATCATATATAATAATTATAACATCGTAGCTTACTTACCTTGTTGACCCCCTGATACACGGTCGCCGTGGCACCGCGTCCCAAAATGCACCCTGTGCTCCATACGTAACTTGGCGAGCCTCGCAAGTAGGCCATACCTCGAGATCCTGCGTTCAACAAAATACGATCTTTCGTTTGTGAGAGGTTGTTAAACCGCTGCTACCTGAGTACTACTTCCATAAGCTGATGACAATAGATCAATAACGTTAAAAAGACTAATTATTAGCAGCAATGCGAGATGCCTATGTACCCTTGTCATGATATCACATTTATATATCACAATAACGATAGAATGTACCTGAATCTCTCTCTAATAATAATTCTGTTTATTCACACAACTTGCGTGGTACAATTTATGTATTGATGTATCGATAAAGAAAGTTGAAGTAGCGGACTTTACGTACTTTAACTGAAGGTACTCTGCGGCCCCGCTGACCGATAGCCCGGATCTCTCTGATCTGATATCTATCATTTTGAGGTCTCGTAGATAAAAATTATAAATATAAGTAAAATAGACATAAAAAACGATCCACGTCAAACCGAGAGCAACTTTCAATAATCTGTTTATCCTAGCATACTAAACTAAGTGCTTGTCCGTCTGTATCTCTGTGTATGTATTGGGTTCCGCATTAAATCGTCTACATCGAGTAGTCTATTAGAGCTAGTTTTTTCAGGGCTGGTAGAGTTCCCTTGCTGGGACTGAGTTGCAAGTAAAGTTTCAATTATTGATTGAATATTTCCTTAGAGGGTAGTTTCTTCCTCCCACAGGGCATAGGCCTGCTAATTTAGGCAGGTTGAAGTTTTTTAACAATTTTTTCAACCACCATTAGAAATTTGTGAAAGTCTGTTTGCTTCTTTCAGCCTTATAGAATGGTCACACAATAGTTTAGTTTAGATGACATTGACTCTTGCAAATATTTTTTCCTTAGCACAGAACGTTATGCTCCCTCCTTAGTATTTTACCTTCGTATTGCGCCACTGTATACGACCAAAGTTTAATTACTCTAAAGTTCTCGAAAAATACGCAGCACACAGCCGACTGGTCGAAAAAATCTGACCTGTGAATAGGGGATTAGCAGAGGGTGTGGGCTCTACAAGCCCAGTTGGCGAACCAACCGACTACAACCAAACAAAATCTAGATGCTTTGTTGTTTTTTTTGGGAGATAGAGTTTTAGTAATAGAATACGGTTTTGTTACAGGCATGATAAAGTGTAATATTTAAGTTTATTATAACTTTTAGACGTTGAGAACGGTTTTTTCTTTTTGCTACCAAAGACCATATTGTGAGTTAACCATAACGGAAGGACAGTGTAACCTGTATTGAAGGTGAGGAAAACTACTAGGACATTTCTATTAAGGAGTCAACGACATGGTTGCAGCAAGGTACCATAGCATAGCTTAAGCTGGACGGAGGTAACATGTTCACCGAATCGGGAAAGCAGAATTGCCCCTTCCGTAATAGGTGAGCAGAACAAGCTCAATGGTAAAGACCAAAACGTAGTAATGCAATCATAAATACATTTCAAGGAAAGCGCGCTGTTATTAACGAGGTAGCAGGACGGTGGAGTTCTAACGGCAGGTCTACTCCTGAAAATTGGTCTAAGTTATTCAAGGCTTCAAAGACACTGGCGCCACGTTGAAAACAAGTTGTTAACTTTTGGCATACACAAGCGGACTACTATTTGGCTCCATGTGGTAACAGGTTAACAGCAATGGAACAGTTGAGGTAAATGGGCATCTTGCAACCATGTAAAGGCCTCACTTAAGGATTTTAACGAAAAAAATATATTATTGTAACACCATGGTAAGGATATCAGCGTTGCAGGGTAACCAATTACTGGAACTTGGTAATTATAACGGAACTATGGGTCAGGCTAGATCTAATGAATCACTGCAACTAAACAATACGATAACTGCAACAGAACAATCGGGTTACTGAAATATGCTATTCAATTTACAGAATTTTTTTTAGTTTAATTACTGAAATAAAATTACTGTGATCGGATGTCTGCAGTGTGTTATTAGATTAGCTATAATACAATTTGTTTATGTTAGAAACAAACTGCAATGAGACGAAATAGGTCGAGTAGGATGACCGTGATGAGATGTCTGTTGATACGGATCCGGGCTATCATCATACATCAAGCTGCGTTTGCTCTAAAGAAATCAGATTAGTTAATTTAATTACGAGGAAAAGACACGGTTCAAAGCCTGTGGATTAGTCTAGTATCATCTGTTTCCTATATTAAATTTATTTAATTAACAATAACAAAATACACATCTTTCAGAATTAAAAAAAAACATGAAAGTTTTATTATAAAATTGGCAGAATCCATTGTTACAGTTCGTAGAGTTAGTTTTTAATTGTCATAGGTTTCATTTTTCCAAAGATGCCTTCTAGCTGTTCACAGCAAGCTGGTGCTGCTGGCCTGATTAGGATGGCTTCAAGGGCCTGCCCTGGTATGGGAGCAATATGAGGAGGCCACGCACTGTAAACGACTGCCATTACTTTAAAATGTGTCTACGAATCTAAGCCTCATTTGTACCCCCCTGATAACTAGACAAACATACTACTACAGCACAGTTATGACGACACGAAACGTTCTAATAATGAGATAATGCTAAATACAGTCGTGTTATTTAACCAGCGTTTCGATATGATAATGGTAAGCTCAAACCCTTATTGCAATAAACAGTATTTGCACAGCAACCTTTGCGCGCCTTCTTCCGTCGGGACGTCTGTAATCAGATTCATTCAGCTACGACTATTGTGTTACTATCGTCATAAAAAAAAAGTTCATTCATTCATTCAAACAACAGATGTAGACTAATGTGAAATTGTCGAGATGCGATGAGATCTATTTACTTTTAATGCCGGAGATTGATAGAGCTGTTGCTATCGAAGAACATTAATCTCAACTACCAACGCCCTCTAACAATTCACCGCGCCAAAAAGTACTAAATTAAAAATTCTCGAAGAAATGCTTTAGACCAACGTCACCTAAGCTATGAAGAGAACTCTGCGTTTCTGCGTGCGTAAATTTATATAAAAATCAGAATATGTAATATCAATTATCCAGAAATCACTCAATAATTCAACTAGAAGCTGAATACTCACTTAATCAGGGTGAATAAAAGTTCGGTAGAGGTTACATTATTACATAAAAAGCCTCCAATCTTCATGTATGAGCTTCTAATGGTATTGGGCGCATTGAACATGAATTACCTAATGATTTATGTTTATTTATAATATACGGCTCGACTAACCAAGTCGAGTAAATTGGTAAAAAAATAATTTCGAGCGCTTTAAGTTGACTCTTTTTCAGTAAAAAAAAAAAAAAAAATTCAGAAATCCTGGCTATGCCCTATTGCTATATTTCGTTTTAGATATGACTACTTATTTCTATCGTACTAGACGTTATACACCAAACTATGCACTGGGCCTAATTTAGCAGCTTCAAAACTAAAGAGCACCCTTAAAGCGAAATAAAGTTGCCAGTTATACCTCTTCTTTTATAATATGACATATATTTCCCAGTTCATGTAGATTCAACTATATCTATAGCGCGTTTGATAAAATAAGTAAGCAACCTTATGAGATACTAGGCACAGTTTGGGTTATTTGAAGGATTTTCTATTTGAGAAATTCAATGTAATCAATATTTTTTGAAACAGTAGCGTGTGTTCGAATGTAAAAAAAAGAAGAAAAATTACGCATATAAATTCAGTTCAGGAAACACCAAATGTGACTCAAGGGTCGATGATACTTTCAGAGACTGAGAGTTCGATACCCCTTAAGAAATTCATTGTACAATTTTCGGTTTGTTTTGGAATATATGCTCCTATCTACATACGGATGATATTTACAAACGAAAGAAATAAATACTCCCGTTCAGCTAATCAACCTTATGGTTAAGCGTCGATCAGTTTCTAACGAGTTGTGTCACCTTGTCAACACCATGCGGACGCAGGGGAAAGCGTGTCAGATTAAACTCATTACAATTCATTACAGAGAATTTTTTTTTTTATAAATTCGGCCTTATGAATGCTAGTTTCCTAAAATGCCTACGAGTCCTCGTTCTTATCTGCCTGTTTGTTGGAGCTTGGAGCCATGCTTTTGCATCGATTTGAGATCTACCAAGAAAAAAATCTTACTAAACTGAGATTGCCTACAACCTAATAGGGACCCATAAAAAAAAAAAGCGATCTTTACTGGTTGTCCCCATAACTTCCTAAGTTAGCCCTTCCCGCATTAATTCGTTATCGATTTTTTTTTGCAATTTTTAAATTTTCTCAGACCTGTCTCAAGCATTTTGCATCGAATGAAAGATGCATGCTTTATAGATAACCGCGTTTTTTTTCTTGAAGGTGAGGGCAAATGCATTATGCAGACCAGAACTGTTTTGATGATGTGAGATTCGTCAGCCGAGCTTACATTGCATAGATCACATGAAACAAAGTCATCGTTTGTTTTTATATATATTCAGATCACTATTCGCTGGTTTGTTAGGGCTATCATCATCCATTTTTCTCTTCGCAAATTACAACTAGCAAGTGGGGTTGTAGGCACTGTGCCTATGCACACTACGCTTCGCAGCCAAACAATGGCACTAGGTTTAGCTTCACTTACGTTCCCACGAAATTTCTGATTCAATCAAATAGAATGAGCAGTAAAAAAAAAAATAACAAGAAAGCATTGCACATATCTGATGACTGAAAACTGTACATGCACATGGACTACTCATTGCCATCATATACAGCGATACCCCCACGTTGCAATACAAGACATGGTTCGATGCTGTTTAAATTACTCAACAATCGTTTAGGTGTACCGACGCTTTTTGAAACGACTTCTTCAAGCGCATCAAATTCATGATGGATCAGTTTCACGTTTGTTTTTATTTTTGTCGCTAGTAAAAGGTCACAGTCAATCTGAGGGCATCTACCAGATTACCTAACAGGATCTTGACGGGGCAGCGAGTTTTCCTTGAATCTCTCCATAATCAATTTAACAATCCGTTACGACACAATCGTATAAATTCTTACTGACCAATAAATCAATTAATTACTGAAGAATAGTACCGCTGTTCTAGTCATTATCGAGAAGATCTACAAATGAAATCATTTTTGCTCATTCAAACTAACGAATAGACCCAATGCGATACGTCTCTAGTTCTGCATAACTTCGAACTAATAGCCCGCCATTCTTGAACAAAAAAGATGTTTCGTCGTCTAGGGGGGGCTATTATGTCTGTATACCTGAAGACGTCGGTTGGTAAAGACCTAACTGGTTCCAGTATTGTCTAAGCTATATTCGGTTTTAGTACTTACTGCTTCAAACTGATATAGGAATAACGAAAAAGACCTTTGTAATGGAACAAATTTTATACGTTAACTTGCTTAAGTTGTAGAGCATCTCATAGAAGTGACGATCGCAAATCACTGGACGCACCTGTTACTGTAATGATAAGCAAAACGAATGCAGTCGGCACTCACCGACTACACCTGAAGTAATCTTATTTTATTTAACAAAATGCCCTTTTTACGGGGCTTTCTTTTTCTTTTCGATGCTGAATACCGTAGTGCTTTTCGACTGCTTTGTTTTACCTTCGTCCTGGAAAATCCTCTAGTTGATGCAGAACTCAAATGACAAAACCTTATTCCAAGTACTATTATCAGCTTCTCATGTAACTTCTCGTGCAACTACTACCAGTTCTCCCCACTGCCGGTTACAGATGGGGCTTCTGTGCTAATATGGTTAGCTTCTACTCTGGTAAACCGGACGCACAACCGCTTGTTGCCAGCAAAACAGAACCTCGACTAACACGCTCACAATTATAACACTCGAATGTACTTGGCGAATGCAAAGAGGATACTACTACTTAGTTTTTGGAGATCAAATAGTGAGAGTAGAGTTGAATACAGCCTGAAAGCTACAATATACGAGGTTCCTCTCCTGATATATATCATCGCACCTTATTCCTTACTAACCTTGTTTTTTTCGACCGTACATGCTGTTCGCACAATGCTATCCTTTCATGGTGTTCCAGCAGCTCGAACGAAACTCCTGTTCAGTCCACTGGCGGCCATCCTTAAATCACTCTCACTCACCTGCGCACTTGCTTTTACTCACGAATACGGGGAAAATTTCTCACTGACGGTCTTCTACAGGGCAGGTACTATACGACACACGCGTATATGTGCATATGGCCTTTATACGTAGCTCATGCACTCCTAGAACCACCTTCACACTGTTTGCAATCCGTTAATCTCGCAGTCATATCCTTTACAGGGCATCTAAGATTACCCATCACTTATCACCGTAGAATACGCTCCGTTGGGATGGACGCTAAACTTTCTTCAGAACCCTTCAGCTTGGCTTTCGTCGCTTTTAAACGCTAGACTATTTTTGCGGTTTCATTTGCAATCACTTTCGTCATCGTACAATTGTTCCACTTAATTGTGCACCAGATCTAGATAAAGACTTACAGCAGTACCTATTGAATGAGCTTCTACTCCTTCAAACCTGCGGCGTTTGAATTTTATAACGCTGGTCTAAGCTACCCTTCACCTGTTATGTTACCGCTTGTCACTGAAATGGCTGTGATATTTTGATGATGAATTTTCCACTTGTCCGTCTATTTTACAGGCAACTTCGTCTATGCTATATAGGCAATTTTTCTCATTTCCCCCGCTGCTCAGTTTATGCCTCACCAGATCATCGCTTCATTCGACGGGCGTGCAGCATTGGAGAGCTCTTTAGTTGTAACAGCCATATAAGTAGCGCGTAGTGTGCTGATCTTCGCGATCAGCGGCTCAGCTCACTCACCAGCTTTGGTTGCTAGTTTTTAGACCGAGAGGGACAACTTCGATGGCATTTAATAACTACACCATGTAAGTTTACGAACACTGAAGTTCTTCTAGCTGAACAGCAGCACCTAGTTCGACCGGAAAAGTACAACGGACAAGTCTTGTAGGTCATGTACTACCGTACGAGTTAAGGCGCAGAGCGGGGAAACACCATATATTAGAAAATCTCGGCATAGTATTGTAGGTGGCTGTAGTAGCCTCCGTATCAGTTTCGTATCGCTGCATTGGTCATTAGAATTGCGGCAGGATGGCGTTTCAATATAGGTCCCGTCCGCGTTCCAAAGACGTCGCCCGCCCGCTTGTGTACCTCTAAGCTCAAACGCACTCGCCCGATAGTTTATCCATTTTACTGAGATGCTCGTCAGGCCGATAACAAACGTAGCATAAGCTTGTTGTTCAGTTTTCCAAGTTAGTAAAAAAAAACTTTGGCAGTAAGATTTAAGCTTCAGTCGCTGTTTCGGTGGCAAAAAGGCAGCCTGCCGGTCGGTAAATTACAGCGGAGTCAGCCAACACGTTAGCCAAGTGACTAAACGCTTGCCTTGGTTGTTGCCACAGCTCGCCCTCGAACGGCATCACTACCAGCTCTATTGCACAGCCTGGCGCGCATTAGAGCTTTCATGCACCAGAGCGTGAACTGCAACGATGGCTACAGCGACTACCGGGGTGGCCGTAAGGTGGGGTGGAGCAACGAACCCCACTGGATCCAAGTGAGGTACAACTTCAAAGACGAAAATTCAAGCCAATTTTTGCCTAAGGAATGTAACCATGCTATGGATGCAGTCGCTACCAGCCGCGCATAACGCGCAACGGCTTGCTTCCTTCCTTGCCTGCTGTTAGGTCTTGGTTGCTGCGTTTTCACTGGCGCCGGCATCATCGCGGTCGTCGAAGCAACAGCAGTAGCGGCAGCCACTGCATTCGCAGCTGCTGTAACGGCGCCGCTCCCGCGCCGCCCTTCCCCATCATCAAGTCGGAAACGTGAAAGGCAAGTCGCTTTTGGCCGCCCCCACCATCATCACAGCAATAACAACAACGGGCGCCCGCATATCCAACTGGTAATGGCAATGGCAGCGCACAGCCGCTCTGGTTGAAACGCCAGCAATGGCAGCAATCGCAAGGAAAGAGGCTGTAGCATCAGCGCACCATCACCATCGTCAACAGCAACAACGCCGAAAGGAACTTCGGTAGCAGCGTCAGCAGAAACCAACGCAGGAACGACCGAAGTCAGACCAGAGGCATTAAGTTTGCGCTGCTGATATCGCTCCATCGCAGTGTTATCGTTCACTCTCCCAGATACTGAGTTGTTTAGCAGCTGCTGCTTCCGCGCCGGCGATAATAGTGGCGCTTGTGATGATAATGGACAAGAAGAAAACGAACCACTTTGATCAAAGTAGAAGTTTTTAACAGCAGAATAAGCAGGAATAGAGGAAAGAACAAAACATGGCAAACAAGATAGCGGCAATTTTCGCTCCTTGTATGTACAGTGGTCGTAATCGTGGTAACTGTCACCTTTAACGGCGGCCCGGCAATGTGATCTTCAAGTGCCGTAGTTATTCTAGCAGAAGACAGGGTCAAAGCAAGCTTGTTCGTGGGGTTCGCTTTGCTACACAAATAGCGGTGATTCGGCACCTGCTCCTGCTGCTGTTGTTGTTGCAGCTACGCTTGCCTCTCTCACCGAAACTCGTCCGAGGGACCCCCTAGGGCGACGGATGTCCCTCGAGCTACTGGCGTTTCTACTGCTAACGTTGATGTCGGCGCCACTCGGGATGAGCTAACTCCTCTTTGTTGTCTGTCTGTTGTCGCATTCGTATTCGCTGTCTTCAACAACGTGGTCCAACTTCAGCCGGTAGCGACGTTCGTGCAAGTTTTGCTGGCTCGTTGAATTTCTTATTTCTTTCACTTTTAATGTCCCTTTTTGCACCCTCTACTTTGTTATCGTAACAGAAAACAGCCACGGCAATAGCAATTGCCAAGAGTGGCGACTCTGATGGAGTGGCGGATTGTTTTGATCTTATATCAATGTTATTTGCGGCAGTATCATTATGAGCATCAAACATTTATCGACCTAATCACTACAATATACATCGTTGGCTAACGCAATGACCAGCGGGTGCCGACAGCGCCTACCTTGCACTGCTCCAGCGTGTGCCTACACATAGAGCTATTGTAGTAGTAGCAATGTTGGATAGATAAATTAACAGCGCTAACAGCGGCAGACCGACAAATGAAAACAAACACACCACAGAATTAGCAGAGCCCACCTTGTGTACCTAGGCACGCTGCCGAATGACCTCGGTATGCCAAGAATAGTAATGCATATTGTTGATGTTCATCTATTGGGATCTGTTCTTATTTTTGCCATCGTTGATTTCCTTGCTGCTGTTGCGATGGTAGATCGCTCAGCCGAGGGGAAGTCTCGGTGCGAGGGCTTCAGTGACTGAGACGCCGAATGACGTCCCACTGGATCCAAATTCCGGGTGCCGCTTCCATCGTCGGTGCTGCCATCAATTAACTTTAACGCCGGGACCCGACGGTGTGCTGATTTTCGCTGTCGCAGGTGTCCTCACTGTCGCAGCAGTCGACGCCACAGCTGCCGTTGCGGTTCACGATTACGACCGTCTAGTGGATGATTTTTAGCCGCCCACGAGTCTTTCGTGGCAATGGTCGTCGGCTTCGTTCTCTTCCGATGCGCTTTCTTGATGTGCGCTAATCCAAGTTGGAACACTTCTCAGTCGTTGTACGTTCTTTTACTTATCGTTACTGCAACTGAAAGCTTGATGCATCTCTCTCTACTATTGACGTCAGCGCGGCATAGGTGACGATGGCACAGTGACATTACGTCAAAAAGGACCCGATAAACAACAAGTAGGCGACTGCGACGGCCAAATGCAGCAAATGACCACAATGGCAATACCATCATATCGATAATAATGTCTTAACACGAGCTAAGATAAATAACTTTTTTTTTTTTAACAAAAAACTTATCGAAAGTTGCTTGTCTACTTCTTCTCTTGTCAACCAAATTCGCCAACGAACAAAAAAAATCAGCCACTTCACATCTACGACGTAACTAGCAGGACTCCTCGCCGCAGTTGACATCAACCGTCCCAGTCAACTTCCTTCCTCTAATGTTCGGAGTCGAATCAAAGGCGAAACTGCCTACCACCTGAACGGTCTTACGATCGTGGTAACGCCAATACCAACTATTCCTATAATTAATACTATAAGCTAGAATAGTTTGTAAAACGAAAGCAGTGACAATCCATAGCGGTCGTAAAAAACAAGTATAACTGTGCCTAGAGCAACATCAACAAACAACAACGGCCGCAACAACGCTATTGCTATTGTGAAGCCGATTATGACCGGATCGACAACAATACTACCATATTTTTTTTGCGTATTCTATACCTCTATACTATATTGCGTATTCTATACTATATATATCCGATACTTCAGCCGTTACACATTACTTCATGCAAGTAACTTCCAGTTCTAAAAGTGTTTACGTTCGGATTCGAACCCAAAAGTGTCCCTAAGGTTAGCATGCACACATGTTAACCAATGCGCTATCATGGCGCAATAATTCGTCCCATGCAGCCGTTGCTTGCCTTCTTCATTTTGTGTTTCGTTAGCAATCTATATATCACATTGAAAGATAATTTTTCAAATTACGATTGCACCTGCAGACGCAACGGAAATGCGGATAATCATGAGAAGTATTTAAGCAAAAAGGTGAAAAAAACATATTTGTGCTTATATAGAAAGAAGAGCTAAAACGAGTATTCTATACATGTTTGAATGCTTGCTAGATTTGCTAAAAATTATTTGTGATTCAGCGGAATCGATGCGGGAGCGGCAGTAATCGGCTATCGGGCGAGCGAGTTAGCGAAAAGCGAAATACTAAGCTATTTAACAAGGTTAAATTCGGTTACTGCTTCAACGATAAGATTGAATAAACAATATATCGCAATATACAGTAAAAATTAGGAGACTAAATTATTAGGAAAAAGCGAACAGAGCCCGACTTACAGCGTTAAAAATTTGACGGGCTTTGCGTTGATCAATAGAAAATTCAGATTTTTTAATAGAAATCAGATTTTTTAAAAATTTACGCTCTGTTGCTCCTCAAGCTGCTGGCAGAGATTGTTTAAAAGCGCATTCGTTTGTTCTAATAGCTGCACACTTACTAGAAGTACTGAGCACTATACTATGCCATAATGGCACTGTAAGTCTTGCGAAGTTTAAACAAATGTGTGAATTTGCATTGTTCCACTCGAGGCATCTATTTTACCCTGTTTCTTCCCCTTTTCTTACGGAAGGTACATTACAAAAAATGTATTGTGGCATCAATAGAAATATGTCGAAACATCTTAAGATCGGTCTTCACTTCTATAATGTATATATATATACACACACATATATACGCTGTTTACACCCAAATACTATATGACGAAACATTCTATAGATACATACATTGAACAATCGAAAGCCACGCTGAGATTGCCCTGAATTATTTTAACAGCATTTCAGTAGGAAGCGGCAAAAAAGGTGAAACCCAGCGATCTGATGTATCTGTGCCCAATGTAATCGATTTCTTACATCTGGAACGCTCAAGCAAGCATTCGTCACACGCACAGCCACCCACCCACTCACTCACTTAGCTTGCACAGATCGAAACCTTGATTGCATGATAATACACCGGTGGGGAGCAGTATATATTTGCAAAAATGCTAAAGATTTGAATAGAAAAATATATGACAGCAAGTGCGTTATTATTATTCGCTGTCTTTGGTCAAACCTACTCCTTTCTAAAAATGCAATATCACAAGGCTTCTGCCTTTGGATTTGAGGATATAGCAAGCTAAGCCAAATGGACTAAAAACAGATTGCCACACGAAGCTTAATACAAAAATATCGGTTGATCTATAAAATGAATTTTGTGTTCTAGTAAACACAAAAGCCTAATATTGTAACGCTTGACGGCTAAATCTAAATAGATGACATGTGAATTTTACATACAGACAGCTTATGCGGACGCAGACTTATTAATTCACACTTACAATAGGAAACTATAAATTCAAAAAACTCGCGAATGCATATGTATGCTCTCGCAGTGTGAGCCTTCCACGACCTGCACTTGGGGGTGGATTTCGGCAATCGGTAGAACTCCGTCGTTGCTTTGCTGACGCCCACGATCAGTAAACAACAATAGAACCGTGATCGAAACACACGCAACGTTCGATTCGCACAAGATGTTCTATGAGGAAACTTACTCTAACTACCGAAAGATATGACTTCACCTTTGTTGGATTAACACTAACCTGAGTAGAGGTAAATAAAGTAAACTAAGTGCTAACTCAAAATGAGAAAGGGCGCAAGCGAGTGGGGCACACAATATTTTGTGGAGGAGAGTGCAAACTCGAAGCGCGAACAGAATACGGGAGCTTTGTAGCCGAGCGAATTACCATGACAACGAGCTGACTACTGCCAGATCGTAGGAGGACCGTTGGGCTCTCGTCAGTGCGTCCGATCTCTGATCTATTCTGCTAATCCAAACCTCAATACATCAAACACTCAAAGCGTCATTAGTGAAAGAACCCGAACTCCATTTGTACTTGTACACTCTTATCATGCACGTTCTACTGTTACTACTTATCTAGCGTGCAACAAATACAACTCATACGTGTGCAGCCTTGGCCATAAGGTCGTGCACGAACTCTCCACACACACACACACACAAACAAAGCTGTCATGAATCTCGATCTCGAATTAATCCTCAGTGCTCTGTCCTCGAACCTAAGCTTGGTTCAGCAAGACCCCTCAGCCTGACATTTCCATTATCCTAAAGGTCTCGTCCTGTTGAAGCCAAACTCCGCTGTGACGATGCCAGATGTCATGACGAACACGATCATATTTTGCCTTTTTAGTTTTTCGCTTTTTTGTTGCCGCTAATCGGTAACTGGATGATGTAAGAACTTCATTTCAATTTATCGATGCTGTTGGCAACGCCAAGAGCAAAAATATCGCGGTAGTGTTTAGCCTACAATGGCTCGCCACTCGGTGGTAAGTTGCATCCTGCTGCAGGCACTGTGAACCCGCTAGATTTCTTGTCATGTCATAGGAGGATGATTACTGCCATAGGATGGTGCAACTATCTGCTGTGTTAACCGTCTGTCGAAGCGGACGAACGACACCGACTGAAACCGAAAGTACACAGCGTCAATCGCATCTGTCCCAACTACTAGTTACGGCTTATAGAAAGCCAAGTTCAAATCAATGCACGATAATTCCTATTGTATTTTTGTGATCGGCGAATAAAATCACCGTTATTGCAGAAATTACTATTTGACTGCATATAGACATCGTCGATTTTCACCGTGCAGTCATTCTTTCCATTCACCAATTTGCTTATTCCTAGTGGGCTGGCGAAACTGAACGAGCATGGAAAATAATACACTATTTGTAGTGAACCGAAAATAGGCATGGTTTGTGCGAGGAAAATTTGGCGGCAGGAACGTCGTTATGTCAGTTTGAATCAATGCATGACTGTAGCTTAACTATACGTTACAAGCATCTCAGCCCTTCCTACTGAACAATGAAGAGGCACCAAAAGTTACGTGTTGACAAATGATGTCTCTCAATGACATCGAATCGGGATCGGAGATGCAAAGTTGTATGTGAGTCCGGTCAAGTAGGCTGAAATATTATCTGTGCTCATCGTATACTATCTGAGTGTTTGACTGAGAAACAAGTCGGTACCTGTTTGCGGCAGAGTGCCTTCGTTTGCTATTTTCCTCCAATTGAACATGTCAAAGTCCTGGCGCACTGACCAGTTTAAAGGCAAAGCCAGCATACATCCTATTGAGCGGTTCGAGTCATACTGTGTAGAACGTCATCGGTGTATGGGAGTATTTGGTTGAAAAAATCTCGCTGTTATCGGACCGCGTCATTATTAAGGATGCTTCCATTACTTGCTAGTTCCGCACTGCGGTAGTTCAATATTGCAAAAACGCAAATCCTGTACATTCTGTCATACGTCTTATTATAGAACGCATCTATGGAAGGCCTAATAATTCAAAAGATTTTTTTCCGGTTTTGTTTGGAGCCTTTAGCTGCCTGTATAAGATGCGCGTCGTCAATGTTATCGTATTGCACGTATCACATTAATTTGACTGAAAGCACTTTGACCGCGGGTTAGGCTTAAATGTCCCTTGGGGAATGCAATCCGTGAAACGCTGTTATATTATGTGTCGAAACCAAGCAACGATAAGACCTGCGTGCGAGACATTCGTCTGCTCTATACGGGCCGGCTGAATAAACGAAACTTTCCCCTCGCGATAGAACCAGCTGTAACGGCAACGCAAATTGGCTGAAATTTAAAAAACGCAGTTATATCGGCTGGAACCATCAGTCTGTATAAAGTTGATAGATAATAGACTTTTTTCTTAGTCTCTAGGTAGATACTTCAACCAAGCAGAGGTGGAACAACGTATTCCAACTTATCCGATCTAATATGCTGCAGTGGTTGTCTTGGATACGTAACTTGAGTGTTGCGAGACCACTCGGTGCAATCGCACGTTAGGAACTAACCTGCCATTTTGTTCTAGCTTAGCATAGCGCTGTTCACCTGTTGGTTCCTACTGGATGAAACAGAACGAAACATTTGCTATTAATGGCGTCATAAAGTTTGGCTAAGCCAGAGGGAGAACCAGGGGTTTATTATTGACGATCACGTATTACACACCACCTTGAACAGACCTATTCGCAAAGCGTATATGGTGAAAAACCCACTTTAAAGAAGCAGGCCCTAATATGAAATATGGTTCTTTTACTTCAACGGGTAGTTTTGTCTCCAGGGTTGCGTTCATTAATAACGAGCCAATACAAATGGCCTGTGTACTATGGATGGCATAATATTTTTCGATTTTCGAGTTAGAAAAACGAAATTCCTATAGCTAACAGATGCCTCCCATCAGAAAACTAAATAGCGACAAGACGAATTTATGTAAGCAAAAAAATGTTTCTAGAATATGATAAAATCTTTGCTTTTATCTTACTTTTTTGCTGGCATCAATCTTAATTACACGAGAATGTAGGCGTGACATGGAGCTGTTCCGCTATACAGTTTGATTCAGCCATTGATAAAAATGAAAAGTAATTTTTTTTAATACCTTTTTGCAATTTTTCTGTTAGGACTTTTCTCTACATTGTTACCTACACTTACGACGTATAGAGCCAATAATATGCTTAGTGCATTACTAGGGCTTCTTAATTCTGGTCTTGTCCTTATAATAGAAAAATAGTTGGGTCCTATTTTATCGTATTAAGCCGTAAACATGTGGTTTACTCATGCAGATTCAGCCAACGAAACAGTATATGCGCCTTGAAATAGTACAACTGGATTTATACAATAATAAGTTACTAATTAATGCAACTATCCGAGGTTACTATGTTTTGAGACTGCGGCACTACGCAATATAAACTTTCTTTCTCCTTAGGTTTATCTCATATTAGTATCATATGTATTCTATATATTATATGAACTATAAATGTATCGACTTATTACATTTGTTTTCTTTTGACTTTGGCCGAATGGGTGTCCACAAGATCAGTCATCAAGATGTAGAGTAATATAGCTGCTCAAAGCAATCTTTCAACTACAATAGGTTCATGAACACATTTTAAAGGACTACTTTGTAATTATAGTGTATAATAATTTGCTGCTAACAACAAATGTATGTATAAGTACGAGACAGCATCAATTTGCCAATGGCCGACTTAGATTGTCACATCGAAGCGAACTTCTAAAAACTACGTCTCTGTAAATGCGCCATCCGTCTGTACCTTTTTTTCGACTTTGATTTCGGGCTATTGCAAAGAACCAGAGGTTTTCCGTTTCCATATTTCACTGCTAAAACCATGAAAGGCTTATCGTCGATGACCATATCGATCTCAAGAAAAATTGTGTGCGAACGTTTACAAAGACGTTCCCGTTATAGCCCAGTGGATTACGTGTTTGCCTGCTAATTTGTTGTGGTATAGGTTAGCGTTTAGTATTTATACTGAGCTTACAATTTCACAGAATAAGATTTAGGTTTTTCTAAAACTATGACGAGCTGTATTTGGCCTACTAAGATTGTATAATACTGTGATTTCTGTATGCCTCACCATCAAACCTTACAGAAGTTTCTCCTAGCAAAAGGCAATCTACCATTTGACGTCTGAGCAAAAACCAGTCGTATACGTACACTTGACATTTTGCATAGAAGCTCGACACGCAAGTTTCCTTGTCGGAGCACCTTAGCGTATAATGTATAAAAATACGATAACGTTGTCAAAGGATGAGACCGTTGCAGTTTTGGGGATTGACTGATTGGTGAATAGCCAACGAACTGTAATGAAGTGAAAAAGTTTAAAAATGCAAATGAAATTTGCACCGACCTAGCAAAAACGCCCATTCTCAAACGATATCAGCATCCACAATTAACAGCACAGAAACACAGGCTAGTTCATTGTGTTATCAATACTGACACTGCGCAAGCCGCTGTCGACATTGCGTACGGCCACATACGCGAATATTACGAGCCTCAGGCTTTTTCGGAATGGATTTTCGATAGTGTATGTATTTAGCTTTATCATGGCACTGCAAAAGAAAGCGATTGTTGGTGAAATATCAGAGAGATTTTGAAATCTCATAACAATCATTTACACAATCTGATAAACGTAAACTAAGGCATGAACACATTATATAGAACAAAATAACAAAGCTCGGTTGTTACTTTTACAATAATCCTTTTCTTGTTCTTTGTCACGTTATTGCTTTCACATAGCAAAAACAGATCGTCTTATAACAGACTCTTTGATTTGTATAGATGACTAACTGAATTCCATTCATTGATCGGTTAAATTCTGTCTTGGTCGGAGGAAGCTGACTTGTTCGCGTCATACGACCAAACTCTATGCGCAAATACACACAAGTCAGCTTTTCCCGGCTTTGACCTTTCGCCTCTACTCACGCATCCTTTTTGTGCGTGTACCTTAACCTTCGTACACTTCGCTCTTAACCCGTAAGTCTCCTTAGGCTTCAACCCGCAAGCGATTGATTCGCATATACGAAACGAATATCACATAAGAAGAAGTCGTTTCGGTCTATAACGCTACTAGCGCTAATTGTGCTGATAACATCGTTGGCCTTTCCGTCGGAAGCTGCTTGCGAGTTATCATCACGTTATCCGTCCAGGTCTGAAGAGCATATGCTTCGTATTGTGTGTCACAACATACGTCGCTCCTGCAATCTGTATAACTTGGCGGATACCTTTGTGGGCCTATCGTTTGGCGCAACTGCGCCGCATTCTGTTCCTCAACTTTCAATAAATATAAAAGCAGTGTTAAATTGAACTAAGAATATACGCCGTATACCGACTAATATTTGTCTAGTATTTGACCGCGGCTGCCAAAAGGAGTGCTCAGCCAAGCTTGTAAAGATTCAAGTTCTGTGTAGTATCATCTCTTTATTTGTTGACTTTTCAAGGGGCGTTGACAAACCAACCGACACGTTGCGTGATATTTTTTCTCTGTATTCTACCGTTCAAACGCGGATGACTACCTGAGGAATGATATGTTAAAAATCAGTTTTCGCTATAAGCTATGAGCCTACCAGCTGTCCAACATTTATACAAAGCTTAGCGAAGATTTAGGAAGCTGAATCTTTATCTCGCTGTTCAGTGCCGAGAGGAATCTTTGAATTTGTTGTCTAATAAATCCTACATGACTATTCAGTCATGTAGGATTACTAGTCATGTAGAAGGGGTCATGTAAAGGTAGTCATGTAAAAACATGTCGTTAAATTCTGCAAAACACTGTCCAACTCAAATTATTAGTGTTGCCGTCATCAATAACCGTGAAGCGTGTTGATATAACAACGCAGTTAGGGGTTGACTGTTTCTTCTTGTCTTCAAAGCACCTCGTTCGCCACAGACGCTTACCGTCTCAAAAGTATTTATCGTTAACTTTCACTTACTTTTTGACTATGTATGTGTAGAAACTTGAATTATCTCGACCTCCCCCTCAGACAATACAGGAAACTGTTGAAGATCGTTTCGCAGATATTGCAGTATTTTACAGTTGATTTTCTAAAGCGGCATCAAGCGTACAAACGTAACTCGTTGCGATATGAAACAGCTCAGGGTTCTGCCTAAGGCCAGACAAGGGTTCACAACTGAATTATTAGAGGATTGCAAGCAGGACAAGAAAATTCGCCATTAGATGTCGTAGGCTAAAGCCAAAAAGGCTTACGTTTAAAGATACGCTGGTGGCGATACAGCGTCACGAGAATGGCCGCAAAATCTAGCCAGCTGCTTACGGCGACTTTTTTCAATAGCTACTGCTCAATACTTGTGTCAAAATGTATTCCAGCGGCATACTGTTATCGCCGCGCTCTACCACGTCATCGGTATATGCCGACATGGTTTATATATGTTACGGCTGTTAAACCGCAGCTCTCGTCCTAATAACAAAACACCAATTGCAACGACAACGCGAACAACTGAGCGGTTACTTTTTAGTTACTTTAGCGACGCCGTCTTCGTCATTTTCGTCGCTCTCCGTGGATCATTCTGCAGTTTTGTTGAAGAACACGACGCGTCAACGTTATCGACGCCACCCGAAGAGCTGCGACAGGACAGTAAGGTCACTGTATTGCGCACCTCACACACTGGGCACCCTCGTATTCATTGATCTAATTGTGTAGGTAAGTAGTTGCAGACGCTATTATAACCGCTCCGGTTAGTATTGAACTGACAATGAAGCCTACTGTATTCTTGTTGTCGCTAGCGTTGCGAACTTCATGTTTCTTATGTCGTTTATTATTACTCGCTACTTGTTCACCTTAGACCATGCATGCGGGACAAAAGTAACAATAAAGGCACATCCCTGTGAAGGCATTTTAAAACATACAATACTCTCCCTTGACATTTCTGCTTGCTGTTGCAGTAAGTTCACTTGTCGTACACAACAAAAATGATGGATTAGTATTTTTTTAGTATAAACTTTTTTCAATAGGAAAGGCTGAAGCAATATTTCCTATCGGTAGACATCAGCGTACACCGCAATGAACAAGACTGCAATGTTAGAACGTTCGATTTTGTGTATTACCCTTTCAATTCTATATTAATAATCTTAACTTCAACACAGCGCGTGATACCTTTGGTCGCGACTAGTGTAGTAGTAGCTGCAATACGTTCTACCAGGGTAAAAAGCCTTTTCGAACTATTGAATTATTCGTCGTGCATTTAACCAGGCTTGCAGGTGAGAACCCATGGAGGTAATCAAGGATTTCAAATAGATGGATGTATTAAGCATTTTCTTTATCTAGGTGATGAATACTAGCGCTTGTTTACATTGTCTGCCTCTTTGTGTGTTCTCTTTTTTGAGTCTATGCGGTACTCAGAGTACAGAATTCCGTTAAAATCGGTTTGAGGATTAATTAATCTTTGAGGAAATAGCAAATCTAAAAATACCCCAAATTGATTTTTACCACGACGAGCACATGGCACAGAAGGCTAGTCTAGGCTAACTCAAAACACTTATATTTATCACCCATTTTTTAGATACACTTTATTGTTTTACAATTAATTGCTAAAGGGTTCAACGCGACTCTAGCCGTGTCTTTTATATGTATACTAGATTTACACTAGTAGCGCAAAGCCATATTATGATGGATAGATCCCGCAAGGCAATAGAACATACGCGATGTTCAACCTTACAATTTATATTCTATTTTGAAGGCTAAAATATTTTCTTAGCTTGGTTGTGGTTGAGAGCTAAAAAGTCTCTGTAATCGACTCTCGATCGGTCTTCAACTTTCTGTTACGTATCAACGCGCAATAAATTACCTCGGAAGGTTCTGCTTCAAATCTTCTTGCTCACCGTCATTCCTTGTTTATTCCATGTCGTTCTATTTGCGCTAAATCATATGAGATAAGTAAAAACCCTACATAAATTTGTCAACAATAGTATTATACAGTATATGTATAGTTGATCCTTAACACACATCTTGCGTTTTGTGTTGCATGACACCGAGACACTACAGTCTACAGGTTACGAAACTACTTGATACAGGACACTGTTTATTTCGATTGATTTCGATTGAAATGTTTATGGATCATCAAGCGCTTTTTCAAGCAAGCTTTGACTGCCTTTTGTATAACCTGTAATGAGTTTAATGCATCCAAGTTATCGTGTCATACTGTTATACTTATACACAACGCTTGTACTACCCATAATATAGACAACGTCGGCAAATTATAGACTTAATGATACAATCACACAGGATATTGATTTGCGTTCGCCTACATTTACGTAGAAATATATTTATTGTACTTTATCTCTCTCTTTATCGCTTTAAATCACCAATGAATGACTACGTAGATTTTTCACACGTTCAAGTTATTTTTCTTATCTTCGTCAATTGTGCCCTTCGAAGACTTAACTTCCCTCGAAATAGCGCAGCTCGATGCAGATTAAGACGATGCGAAGTACTTTCATCCGACGTAGCGTTTTCGAAGTAAAATATACTGCACACAATCTTACTGCGAAAATGATCACTTAGGGTGGAAACTATTCACTTGACAATCATTTGGACAACTACCTGAAATCAGTGAGCCGCATCTCGTGAAAGCCGGGTCTTCGAAACGGATTGATCTAAGCTTTTTTAGCTGGATCTGAAGACTTTCCAAAGAAACCATCAAGGAATAAGCCGGCAAAGACTAACGATGTACCTAACCATTGACGTTCGGTCAGTGCATTGCCGAACAACAGGATGGACGCTATGACTGTGAAAAGTTTTCGCGTCGTCGTCACAATTGAGCACACGAGCGGACCGAATTCGGCGACTGTCGAATAGATGAAAATTTGGCCCACCGCTGAGCATACCGCAAACAGGAAAACTTCGCCATACAGCTGAGGGTACTTCTGCAGGAAGGCGGCAAAGGCGGGAAGCTCGCCCGTATAGGCAACACATATGGTGAGGAAGATAATGCTAACTAAGTTTAAATGGAACATCATGTGAAGAGATTTCGTTTGGAAGTTTTGCTTCATCCGATCTTGGGTGGCTGCTAATAGGCCGTCTAAAGCTAAAGAGACGGCGAGCAGCATATTTCCGAAAAACGAGCCCTTATCGGCTTTGCAATGGGTATCTTCGTACATAAACAACGCTGCTCCGACAACAATTTGCACTACAAATAGGTACTTCTGTATCGGATACCGTTTCCGTGCTAGCAGCACACCAAGAATCATAACCGGGATAGGCTTGCATGACTTAGCCACTACCTGAGTCGGATAGTTCACATATTGCAACGCTATAAAGCTGGTCACCATTGCACCGACATAGAAAATCCCGCCCTGTGTGTAGTAGCGCCATTCAGTCAGATCACGTCCCTGAGACCACACTGCATGTAGCAAGACCTTGGACATGAGCATGTTCATGGCACACTGAATAAGTAGCAATGAAAACTGATAGACGAAACGTTCCTCGTCTTTGCCATAAGAACTTCGAAGGATCTTCTCCTGAAAGATTCCGAATACGGCATATGAAATCAGGATGCCTCCGGCGTAAATAACTACTTTCAACGATGACGACGACGACGACATCTTGGGGACACCGTTATGCTTGCTGGCCTGAACAGCACCACTCTCGCTTTTGGTCGAGTGGAAAAGTCCAGGCCCAGATTCTTCTTTACGCTCGATTAAGGTCGTCGGCTCTGCGCATCGCATTTTAGCGGCGCGTCCGGCAAATCGCTGGTGGCGGCGCCCGCTAGGTGAATACACCGGCGGCGTCGTACTCGACAGATTGGGCGCACGTTTATTTCTTTGAGTAGCAAACCAATCGCGGCTCGTTATTATGGATTGGAAACTTTTGGGATTAGCTATAGTTTATAATATTTACGTTGTTCGTTTTAAGAACCGTGAGGAGTTGTGGCATACAAACAACGGCTCGTCGGATCTAAACAGCTGACCCGAACAAACCTTAAGTACACGTAGACTTGAATAGAGAGAGATTGAAACTTCTGTGTCTTAGTGTCCGAATATTACGTTCCGCGAATTAGGGTCTGGGTGGGTCAGTTTCGCAAACGCGATTTTAGAACGAAGAGTAACATCCTGTAAAAACTACTATCAGACTACTCTGAACACATTTGCATTATCGTTACCTTGTTACAACCCAGTTACTGAAGTGAGTTTGATTGTCCACGAAGCTGTGAGCAAAATTTCTGCAAAAGCCCGTTCACTTCGAACGCCCCTTTATATTCGGAATGCCGTGTTTTCGTTAAGTGTTTATTTGGAAACAAATCGGTTCGGCTTACCCGGTGTGTGTATGTGTGTGCGTTTAAGTGTATATACATAATTGCTTTCGACTGTCGTGTTTAATTGCTGTGAGATATAAGTATCGAGGAAGATCTATTCATACTTGAATCGGGTGTCACGAGCTAATTGGATCATAGGACGTCGATCTATCTGAACTGTTACAAGCGTATGACGAAGTGAACAGGCCAAAATGACTAAAACACACATTAGATTTACATATTCCTGGCAGTATTATGATTACAAAAGATTTTTACGAGGTGGATTGTTCCGAATTAATAGCAAACATGCGGTGGAACACGAGCTATGTAGATGCCTCGTTCTAGCTTTTTTAATAGATGCTTTCCCGCAAGCTTCTTTAAAGTCACCTTGTTCAATTGAATATATAAATGTTCACTAAAATTAAACGAAACAGCAATACCAGTAGAATCATACAGTGTCAGAGACGTTGAAAAAATTTTTTAAGTTTACGAGCAGTATACCCAAAAAGGAGTGAATTACCTCAAATGAAATTATTTCTGTAACCTTTCTGATGTGTTCGTTGCATTATATATATATATATATATATATATATATATATATATATATATATATATTCCGGCCATGAACTTGACAGCTTTAAAAATCGATTACTTTTTAATCGGTAGCGTCTCAATAAGATTATTTTAACGTAGAAAGTACCCGCCGGAAACTTTTTCCGTATATAACTGTGTCCTATGCAGCATTCTACCTAGGCTTGTTTTTATTCACACTTTAGCTAAACCAAAATACATACGTATATATAGTTCCGCAAATGGTGCTCTCCCCAAACAGTCTATAAATAGCCCCATACGATAATGCTCATTTGGCTATTCATCTAGGGTGGCAAACCGTCAATCATACTTTCTGCAGACATATTTTAAATAAACGTTTCCTATCAGTTGTGTCGGCGTCGCGCCACTTAATTCTAGTAAATGTACGTTGAAGTTTTTAAAGAACACTGAGCACATGTTCGTATAGATTTTTTTTACCGCTCCTGGGCGTGTGGACTTTCCAATATTTTCCGAAAGATGTCATCCAATGAAAACGTGTGAAACCTAAATTCATCCGAACGACAATGCTAATCAGTAGATTGGTTGCTATTGAGACAAAGATAATTCGATGCTAGCACAAGGCCCGCTCCGATCTGAGAGAATGACGATTACGTGCGCTAAGTTGGGCAAAGTACGTGGGGCAGAAAAGGCCATTTAGCCAAGACTGTAGTATTTGATGCCTAAACAAGACGGGCCAACTCCACCACAATCTCATCTGTTCATTTGCTTTCATGCGAACTGTTTTGAGCTGTAAGACATAGTGAACATTGTATGCAGTCCTCTAACATGCTAATTCGTTTACAGATGTCAGCTGTTAGAACAAGCCACTCAGGCGATGCCCCAGCGGGTAGCAGCCGGCACCGAATATCTCAAAAGAAAGTTCAGGTAAGACAATGATAACGCTTTGTGTCATATTATTAGTCGATAAGCGTGTTCGTAACGATTCTGAGGGCTAAACTAGTCAGGTTCGAAATTTGAAAATTTGCGCATATTTTAAAACCCTACGTGGTTCCGTCCTTGAGGGAAACCTGTCATTCCAAGAAAATCAAATAGTCTTCACTTAAAATAATACACTAGGTCCGATCATTTACTGTGGTAGGTACGAGCATGGCCTCGTGAGAAGAAGCTTGAGAAGTTGGCTTTGTATTCAACTTGTAATGAGGAGGGGTGTTCATGTAATGGCTACAAGAACCCTCATCAGCCGGTCAGTCAAGGAGCGCATGGTGGGGCTCAGGTCACGACCGCCACCCTCATCGATCCTTGTCGAAGTTGTGAACATCCGATGACTCAGCATGTCACTCAGCTTAGTACTGTTGAAAGTGCCGAGATTGACAGGTAATTTTTACAGCTTTGTTATTTTTTAACATGCGCACAAAAGGAAAAACCTAATGACCTTAGATAGACGCACTCGAGTACAGAAAACATACTAGGCTTCTGCATTACTATTACTGCTACTGCTGCTGCTGTTACTTTGAATTTACAAATTTGTACTATTTTTCAGCGAGCTTATAGGTCGCCTTGCTCAGTTTCTCTGCTGTAGTGGTTTCCCATGAAACATTTCTTATGAATGAAATATAATGACTTTGATTAATTGATCAAGTACGTCCTTTCGATTCGTTTCAGATTATTATGTACCGTTGTCGATGTGGAAAACATGTTTGTCTGCCTCCACAAAGAGGAGGATGCTGACACTAAACAGGTTTATCTGTACCTCTTCAAGCTGCTAAGAAACTCTGTCCTTCAGCGAACCCGACCAATTGTACAGGAGTCTTCGTTGGGAACGCCCCCATTTGAGTCGCCCTCAATTGCTAAAGCTGTACACAACCTCACGGCGTATAAATTCAGCCACCTGTCACAGAAAGAAGCGAACGCTATGAATGATTTAGCTTTGATGTTTCTGAATTGCCTAAACTGTTGGAGGCTCGAAACGCCCGCAAAGCACGCTTTGAAAGTTCAAAGCGGCCAAGCGAGAGCCGAGGATGATATCAGCTATTATAGAACTAATTACAATCGTTGGCTATGTTTCTGTCATGTCCCAGCTTTTTGTGATTCGCTACCGTATCACAAACCGACGAACATTTTTGGGAAAGCTCATCTGCGGTCAACTTTCCAAACCGTCCGTCGTCAGCTGATGGACAAATTAGAAACGGAGAACGAACATAACCTCAGCGAGAAACGAGAAATGGTGTTAAGTTATTTCCCAAAATTCCTCAGTGCACTTGAACAAGAAGTGTACACTGACTCATCCCCCATTTGGGACCCGGATTTTTCCGGGGTTCCTAACGTGGGAAGTTTTGAGAAACTGAACGTAGCCGCTTTGGCTAGCGCGGTCTCTGCCGATGGTTATACCAGCTTAACATTTGGACCCGAAGCGACTAAACGACGTGGCGCCGACTTGGATACAGCGAGTTCAGGTGCGCCTCCACCCAGCAAGCGTTTACGAATTGAAGGTGACTTGCCAATGGATCAAGTTTTGCGCGTGCTTGAGGTTGTAACCGAACCTTCAGAGATGGTGGGTCCAGCAATCGGCGAAGCTGCTCGAGACGAAGCTGCGCGCAAAGAAGAACGACAAGGCATTATTGAGTTTCACGTTATTGGAAACACTTTACGACCTCCCCCCGATACGAAAAGTTTAGAATGGCTAGTTGGCTTGCAGAACGTCTTCTCTCATCAGCTCCCACGCATGCCGAAAGAGTACATTACGCGCTTAGTGTTCGATCCGAAACATCGAACGCTGGCATTGATAAAAGACAATAATGTTATTGGGGGCATCTGTTTCCGCATGTTCCCGTCACAGGGTTTCACCGAGATCGTGTTTTGTGCGGTAACGTCAAGTGAACAGGTCAAAGGCTACGGTACCCATCTAATGAACCACTTGAAAGATTATCATGTAAAACATAACATTAACTATTTCCTAACTTATGCTGATGAATTCGCTACTGGCTATTTTAAAAAGCAAGGATTTTCGAAGGAGATTTCTCTGGCAAAGTCGGCGTATCTAGGCTACATCAAGGACTACGAGGGCGCAACATTAATGGAATGTGCTTTAGATCCCCGCATTGTATACACGGAATTCACCCACGTGATACGCCAACAGAAGCTAATGGTTAAAGCGTTGATAGCGCAACAGCAAAAAACCGTGAGGAGCTATCCTGGTTTGACGTGTTTCAAAGATGGAGTGAAGCATATTCCAGTGGAGCAGATTTCCGGCTTATGTGAAGCTGGTTGGAAGCCCCCTGAGGGCTTCTTTGCTGAGAACGTGGATTCACAGCTACGCAGCATTCTGAACCATATGAAAGCTTACCCGGCAGCTTGGCCATTCCTTAAGCCAGTAGAGAAACATGAGGCTCCTGACTATCACGAGTACATCAAGTATCCCATGGATCTGCGCACGATTAACGAACGACTCAAGAACAAATACTATCTTAATAAGCGTATCTTTTATGCAGATATGATGCGCATATTCGACAACTGTCGAACTTACAACAGCCCTGAGACTGAGTACTATCGTTGCGCAAACAGCTGCGAACGATTTTTCCAGGGTAAATGGAAGGAAGCGGGCTTTTATGAGTGACGAGCGAAAATCACTTTGGAATGATTTATCAGCAATCGCAAGTGATTTACACTATTTTGTACATATATGTACACAACAGTGCACCTTATGTAGTTTAGCTGGCTATCTAATTTATTCTGTTCGTTGATGCAACGGTCAATACGTACGATGAGAGGCGATGATGCAAAAAAGATTGCTTTGCCGTTACAGGTGATTATTGTATATTAGCTTTTATCTTCGTTTTTTGTCGTTGCTAAGAGCTGGTCTGAGGTTGCTGTTTATAGATTTATGTTACAGCGTACGTACGCCGGTTGTTGCAGACGTATATAGGGGTTAACAAAAAAGTAATAGCACGCGCCAAATTTCCACTAGATATTAATTGAATCTAAACGAATTCAACTTAGTAAAACGACTTTATGTTTGGCTTAAGTTCAGCGCAGAGGGCCACTGCGTTGGGGATGTTTGATTATAGGTTAAATTGATGTAGAAAATGCGAGAAAATTGAAGGGATTTGAAATGAATTAATACCTCAAAAAATTGATCCTGCAAACCTACCCCGCGTATGTATATGCAATCTGCATCCGCTACGTCTAAGTGGGTGATTAATTAGCCAGAATGAGCGAGAATTTTCGTTGAGTTTTTATTGCAATGGTGATAAGAACGAGCGTTTGTGATGACCTCAGTGAAGAGAAGAGTATGCCGCCCTGAAAGCGGCGTAAAATTTTGATCTCTATTTTTTTCGAAGGAAAATAAACTCCATACGCGACAACTGTGTGGACAAAAATTGTTTGCTAACTGCAAAATCAATATATATTTATTTGTTATTTGTCTATGGTAACTATGAACACACCCCAAAGTAGCTAGAGGTCATATTCATTGTCCTACAATGAGCAAAATTGACCGTAGTAATAAAATACACTTTGCTGCAATCAACTGTGCAAATCTCATTTCTGTGACTATTATGCTTTTTGAGAAAAAAATCTTTTATCGTAAGGATGTTTAAGTTCTGCCGTATTCTCTCTCTCTCTCTCCCTCTCAATCTCTCTTAAGTAAAATTACAGCTGAGCTTAATTTCAGTTTGAACGACAGTTCAACTTTTTATTAAAAAAAAATATCGTGACTTTTCATCCGCAGAACGTCTTGAATTCTTTCTCACCAATGAGATTCCAGACTGGCAGTGGATGCGTTTTGTTTTGGTACCGGTAAGGGTCCAGTTGTCTGACGCTTGGCAGCAATACGAAACGTAAAATTCAAAACATATATTTTTTGGGATTGTTTTTCATTGCTTGAAAGAATGTGTTGTTTTGAATCGAAAGGAGAGTATATAGTTGTCTTCGTGTTTCCATCAGTTATCGGGTTATGCACTATAGTGACACACCAAGGGAGGAATCGTTCTGCATCACCTTAGAAGAACTATAACGGTTGCACATGATTACAGCATCCAGTGATGTTGAACAGAAAGGCGTGTGAAAATCAACCTATTTTACGGATAATACATATATAAAAAGCAATTTAAGTTTTACTCAGCTATTTAGCAGTGATGTCTGTTTTGCGTACTTATCTAAAAAGAAAACAGCCATCTCTATTAATACTACACCTACAGGTTATCCTGTTTAGTCATAAAAACCTTCAACTTTTAGGTTTTTGGCTACTGTCAAAGAACATTGTAGTATAAAATACGCATGCATTCATTTGACTGCTGCTTCCAGAAGGGTACGGAAATTTCGAATAGTTTTTAAGGCGTTAGTAGTCAGTCATATGATTTGAATGGTGCCAACTAATCGATTTATGGTGTACTTACAACCAGATTCTCAAACAGTGGTTCTCGTGTAGCCCTTATCCATTTAAAAAATGATCTAAAAAAATGCTAAAGCTCTCTTTGCCTTTGATAATCGCTTAGTGAAAGTAAAGAGTAATCCATTAGTTGGTGATTGAAGAGTGATCGAAGCGTGTATAGGGTACAGCTGTTCAGGATTACTTAATCTTCCAGATTCCGCTTCCTTGGTGGTAGAGTGTACTATCAATTTTCGTTAGGTTATCAGACATTTGTATTACCCACGCAAATATTAGACAATGCAAAAAGCTTGGAGTCTTGCGGTACACAGCCTAACCACGTGCAGGCCAAAATATAGTAAGTTGTATTTTTTGAAAATCTACACCATGTTAAATGCTCGGTAACAACATTTTCAACTGTTAGGTATCTATGTTACTTATTTATTTGCGTTTATCGAGTCTTGCACTTGTATGTTTTAAGTTGTATTTCGCCACAGCCTACACCATAAGACGATCGGCTATTGTTGCCTGTATAAATGCAAAATTTTTGAATAGTTTTGAGATCACTTTAGAACTGAGGTAAAAGCTCGCCGTAAACTCAGACAGGTGTTTTTTAGACCTAATCGAGTTAAAATTGTTCAGGCTTCAATCCTCAATTCTCACTATTTTCTTTGGAAAGACGTACAAACCTAGTATATTATTTTTTGGATCGGGTAAAGGCCTGCTTGTGTTCAGTATGTATCTATGAAGATATGTTCGAAACGTCTTTTGCATAGATAATCATTAGGTAAGCTGCTTTAAAAAGCAGAATGGAATAGTACATCTTGTAGAGATGCTTGCACGTCTTTTGAAACGAGTGCAGCGTTAGCAATCGAGAAAATTGTTGTAATTGAATCAGCTGAGTGTGACATTTGTCAAAGTATCTTAAAAGTTACGTTAAATATTTTTTAGAGTAGGCTGTTCCCGTTCAGATTTTTTTTTACAAAAGTAATATGCTGGGCGATTTTATTTTGTTGAGGAAGAGGCTAAACTGTCATTTTTACTGTGGTAGGTTCGTTGTCTGATCCAACAGTCTGCGGCACATTGACTAGACTCGCACTTATTTTTTTGCAATTATCACGAATTGGTTATAATCTATGTTCTTGGAAGGTCCTCCTTATCAATCACAATATATTCATATTGCTCATAAATGACTTGCGTAAAAGCTAGACTATTACACTGATTTGGTACCCATTTGACTTTTGCTGCTTCTGCATTAAGTATAAATCAAGCAACTTATCAAAAAAGGTAGACAATCTGCTAGGTCGGAAAAACGGCGCCACCGTAAAGAAAGACATTATGACGCAGTTTTTTAAGAAAACTTTCAGTGGCTGAAAAATTCAGGAGAGGTTTGCATGAAACAGCATTAGGGAATGCGTAGAATTTGAAACCATAATCTCTGCCGTTTCACTCTTACAAGGGACGTGCGAATCAATGTGATGCCGAATTCGAAGATGCGTCAAAAAAGTTACTGCATTAAATTGAAGTGCATTGTTTACAGAACAAGTTCATGCATATATAGTTGTAACCTCGTACCAAGTAAAGGAATAAGATCCTCCAATTCAAACCATTGGCTAAACTGTAACCGCCAATGATTCAAAATCACACTCAAAATCGTTTCGGGAAGTCGGCTGCGGTCCTCTGTGATATAGTTTGTTCATAATTTACTATCGGATTATAGTAGCATCGGTGCGGTGGATTACGCTTTCAGGGTTACTATATAAGTGTGCTATTGCAAGTGGAAGAACTCTACAAATAATGACAACACATACATAATAATAATAAGGAGAAACTTTAGGAGTTCAAATATTTACATGCTTCGCAGGGACAGCATCGAATCTTGGCAAATCAGAATGACAGACACTGAGAAAATTAACTTGTTAAATTACTGTTGTTTGGGTAATGAATATAAAGGAAAAAGAAAATGGCTCCAAACAGAATAGACTCACTTGATGGCTTCAAATCGTCTTTGTAGTAGCTGCAAATTTAGGTGTGTGTCACACTACCACCGTATAATTGTAATTAGTTAGTTATGTCACACAAAATTTCGCGAAGAATCAACTGGCAATGACATATTTCCGAAATTAGACTATCGTGGCGTCGCAGTCATTTTTCGCCGTTTTGATAAGTAGTCATGCAATAGCATAACGAGAAAGTAATCGTAATTATGATAAGTTTGTGCCCCTCTTCCGACAGTTGGTGAACTAAGCAGAGAGAAATAAGTGTTTGTATACTTGTTCGCACTGCGATGTAGCATAAATGTGTTTTTTTTTTAATGATTATCACAAAAGTAAACAATTTTTTTGAATATGTTCACAGTAGACGCGCTAAGCTTATTCAGTGTATGCCGGACACAGACAAACTTTTTCATTCTATATGCCTTGAATTATCTCGAGTTCCTAAAGCATATAGGGTTTTTAATGAAAACAGTAGACAAAATATAGTTTACCTAGTTTTTTTTTGCATGTGTTTTTTGATTCAGTTCGGTAAGGATTGCATCCGAACGAGCGACCGTTTATCTGTGTTACGCGTAATCAAAGATAAAACCTCGCGAAGAAATTTATCGTTCGCATATGCGATTGCCCAATTTAGTCACTCTGGAACCTAGTGAGATGCTTTTTCCAGTTGGCAGCACTTGACTGAATATTTTCTCTTAGTTAGAGCAATCCACGTATGCAAACAATAAACTGACGAAATACAGAAATAAATAAGCTTGTATATTGAGTTTTTGAAACAATGTGCCATAACTCCTGTTAACTACTGAACAGCCCCAGTCTGATGCCTTGAGGCATTTAGAGCGGAGTGCCACGGGTGATAACATTCGAGCTACCGCACGGACTAATTCTTTGATTATATGTCTTCTCTATAATTTTACGATGAATCTAAAAGTTGATGTAAAATAGCTTCCTTACAACAATCGTCAAATGAGCTTGAACCATAGAAGCACCAATGCTTTATTATATTTTTACTAATAATCGGTTTCTCAACTCCAGTCCAAATGTCCCGACTATATTTTGCGCATTTAATTCTTATTCATCTAATTTAATTTCCGTCTCATAAAAGTTATGGAAAGAAAATGTGTTCTTCATTGTGCCGCGCTCAGTTTCTCTTTTGGAGAGGTTCGACGGTGGAATGAACGCCTTCCGCGCTTTCGCAACTTCGGAGTCAACTACATCCGAGCATTAGCAGAGCGATCGCCCATTTTCTGGCGTTGTTTGGCGGCTTCGGTACGGAGCTCTCAGCTTGTCAAATCCCCAGTTCCGCACGCCGGCCGGTAACAAGTAGCTTTAGCACGCATTCTCCCGTTCAGATATGCCTTCCAACGTCGAAATCAAGGCGCGTCTTGAGGACTTTGACGTATTCCACACTCTGTTCAAGAAGGTCTACCAGCCTAAGGTAGGAAAATTAGCATATTTAGGTGGAGAAACACAAAAGACGCGTCAAAGTTTTCCCCTGCCGAACCAAGCGTAGTCCTACTACTCCAAAGCGAGGATAGCGTTTCCTATTAGGTTTTGTCAGGTGACACCGCGTCACTGTTATAGCGTTGAATCAATACTGATTGCAGCTCCAGTAACTGAAATTAATTATTTCTAATTGTAATTTAAGGAGGATGAGTGTACGACGCTCGAGCAATGTGACACGTTTTTCAAATGCACCAACGGACGCCTCAAGCTCCGCGAGATCAAATGTGAGGGTAAGGAGTCCTCCGAGCTGATCTTCTATGACAGGTAAGCTTGTCACCCATACGGTTAGCGAGTTTTTTTTCTGTGTTCGTGTGACATTTCAATAGTGTTATGTATCCGAAAACCGGGCGGCTAAATAGACCTCAGGGGTGCAAAGCCTTTCGTTTCTGCCCAGATCGTGCGAGCAAGGGGAGAGAGCGGACTTTTCGTGGCGTCCCTAGAGAAGCGTGGCATCAGAGCACCTTCATTGCATCGTATGGAATCGATCGCCGCTCCTTCTATTGTAGAACGACCGTTGCTCGTGGGGGTTTTGCAACTTGAATTTTCGAGACGGTTCTTCCTTCCTAGGAACGGCCAGGGTTTGATGTGAAAGTGCCAACGAAAACAAGCGGTTAATACAAAATACGCATGGCCAGCAATCGGTTTCAAATAGTGGCGACATCCACATTTCTAATTCGCTTGCTACCTTTGTGTCTGCCCACCACGAATACGCTGCACGAATAGTACATTTATTTAAAAAAAACCGTAACAACTTTGGCCAATCGATGACTAGTGGATCATGCGAAAACTAGTTCAAACGCACTAGCGTCTCAACATGATTGTTTTTGTCGCGCCATCATTCATGTTGTGCAACTGAATCTCTTCATTACTGGGTACTTTAGGTTCGTATTGGAGTTTAAGTTCATCAGATAAAACTTATTAGGTGTGAGTCGGTTTTGCAAGTCCGCTTAGGCAGGAATGGGCAAAGTAAAGATGGCTGCTCCGGGATTACCATTGCTGGGTCCAATGACCTGCCCTCCCTGAATGGGGTCCAATGACCCTCTTTTTTCACCCCACCTTTGAACGGTGTAGCTATGGAGCTCATGGAAAGCTTACAGAAATGTGTTATAACTTTATCTGCATTGACACTTTACATAAATCGTTTTATTGGCTACGACAATGCGTGTCAGCTGTATCCTTTTAAGAGGAAAACACGACCATAAGTAGTCATCCGCCTGGTTAATGTATTTTGTGCTGTGTCCCTGTCCTCCTCTACAGTTTTATTCATCATGGATAAAAATTATAACGCTTGCTATATAAAAATCTTTGATTTGAACAAGGATCAATTGTTACATACGATTAATCAGCATAAAACTGAATGTCTAGTTTTAAACCAAGCAAAATAAATTGACTAAAATAGTTTTTACAAAAGCTAAAAGATTATTACTTAATATACGGAATTGATAAAGTTTCTGTCCATTTTGACCCTAAAACTTACGTTAAATACGTTTTTATCTTTTACTGTAGTAGGTGGCATTAGGATGCTATTTTGGGCACAGTAATATGTGTATACAGCATTTGTCTGGCGAGTTATCTTAAGTGAAATCTTAAGTTTTTCATGCATTTTAAAAATTAAAAAAAATAAAAAACATTGAGCATCTTCAATTATTACCCCATGCATAGTTTTTGTTCGTTTTTGACAGAAGCATTATTCACATTACTCGCCGATTAGCCTAATTAATGTTACAATTGGAGATGAGGTTAACAAACTTCTAAATATAAAAGCGTTTTATATTTTAGAGGTCATAGTAAACTGAGATATAAGCTTATTATACGGACGTATTAGTACGTATCTGGTAAACCGACTAAAAACTCCGACTTCAAAGAAAACGCGGAGCCCAAAAAAATTAACGAAATCTTTTACATGTGGCACACAGCATATATAGCGTTTCATAGTGCTCTGTTGCTATCATCTATCCTGTCAAGTTTCATGTACTTATTATGCTATATACCCATGTAATTTTTGCAGGAATGATGTTGCCGGCCCCAAAAAGAGTGACTTCGTTAATCATCGTGTTCAAGAAGATCCGGCAAGCCTAAAGGATGCCCTTTCCAAGGCTTACGGAACGCGAGGAGAAATTAGGAAGATCCGACTCCTCTACATAGTCGACCAAACTCGAATTCACATCGACAAGGTAAACTCAATACACACAAATACACACACACAAACACATGCACACGACCACATGCACACGACCACATGCACACGACCACATGCACACGACCACATGCACACGACCACATACACACGACCACATACACACGACTACAGACACACGAACACAGACACACGAACGCAGACACACGAACACAGACACACACGAACGCAAACACACACACATAAACACGTCCAAATACACACAAACAAACACGCTCAGACACACACACACACACACACGTAAAAAATCATGCACGCCCACATAATACATACAAAAACACGCATGCATACATCCGTTATATTAAGCATAATTTCAGGGTAAAGTGTTCGGCAATTAAAAGTTCATATATAAAGGTCATATTAAAGTATAAATTTATCTTGGATTCTTTTAGAAAATTATTTAGGCAAAGCATTTTAAATTTTACAATATGGCTGGACGTCTAACTTACGCCATTATTACTTCTAGTGTTCATCTACAAACAAACCTGTTTCGCAGCCTTTCTATGGCTTTTCCAAAAACTATATTGGCAAGTTCCTTTAAAAAATAACTGAAGAAAACTAAGGTTAGTACCTACGAAGTTATTAAAACGAGGTTGTTTGATTAACTTTGTGATAAAGCCAAGCTTGATTTTATTCATAAATATATCCTCATGACGACTGATAAAATGATTATATTTATAAAGTATGAAATAATTAAATTGAAGTGTAACATCAGCCAGGAATAGAAAAGGTTTTCTTAAGATATTTTTTCTGTAAAAATTACTGAAAATCCCAAAGAAAAAATGAAAAATAGGATAATATATCCGTATGATAGAGTAAATTGTAGAATTAAACCTCACATTTCATTTGGCGACTTTGGACATATTATAGTTTTCCTAAGTTACCAGATCCGCTAATTTCGTTACGCATATTCAATTAAGGCTACGTAGACTTCACTTAATGCAAAAGCAATACATTCGTGATTCAACATCCATTCAATGAAATTCCTGAAGAAAAAATTAAGTAAAATGCTTCCAGACAAACATGTTTTTCAGGCAGTAACAATTTATATCTAGAAGTTTGAGGACGAAAAATTGAAACCTATTAGCAGCACTGATAGCACTCTATCAAAACAAAACACCAAAAGCACTAAATTCAGACCTTACATATCCGGTATACTACAAACAGCGCAGTGCGAAGCAGATCGATCAAAGCTGGACATCCCGACAATACTTAATACATTCATACGCTAGAGATTAACGTTGCTAAAAGCTTCAGCTATGACGTTAGGTTCATCTACGTACTGAACCCTGTTACAGTTATATCCCATATAGTTAGTAATCGGAATAGTCTTACCTGCGGCATTGATATTAACGTAAGGTAGTAAATGTTAGATTTGAACTTAAAACTTTATCTCTAATGACTATTGGATGTAACTCCACCTAGGTTTAATAATGGCGTTGAAACAGCCCATACTTCGACAGAAGTTTTGGACTATTCAGTGAAAGTAAATATGATTATTTCTTATCCTTGTTATAAGACAAAGTTGACACACTCATTGGGCGACGGCTTCCATTAAAACAACTAACAACGCTTCTATTTACAAACCAGCTTACGCTCGTTCATAAATGTTTTGACGCTAAATATTGTCCTTTTACAGGTCGAAGGCATTGGTCAATTCATGGAACTCGAAGTCATGCTTCGTGATGGCCAGACAGTGGAAGAAGGCCAAAAGGTCGCTGAGGAAATCATGGAAAAGCTTAACATTACGTCCGATATGCTTATTCAGGGCAGCTACATTGACCTCGCGGCCGATGCTGCTATTAAGGAAAGCACTGCAAAATCCGAAGAGAAGCCTGCCGCTGCTCACGACGATAAAGAGATGGTAGAAGTCAGCGAGCCGCCTAACGATGCCGACAAAACCAAGGCGACACCAAGTGAGAGCAAGCCTTCGGCAGAGCCAAATGAGGCTAAGGACACGAATGAAGAAGGATCTAAGGCTAAGTCTGAAGAGGTGAAAGAAACTAAAGACGTCGAAAAGCCTGTTGCCGATGAGGCAAAAGCGGAGGTTAAGCCAGCGAGTAATGGCGATGCCGCTGAAGCTAAGGCCCAGAATGGAGACGATAAGGAGGGGGACAAAGACGCTGAAAAAATGGAGACCGACGAAGCAGCGCCGGAGAAGGCCGTTGAGAAGGCTGCTGATACGCCCGCCAACGAGGTGGCTGTTGACGCCAATACTGAAGCCTAGAGAAGAAACTATTAGGACGACCAATGCCCTCTAATGCTGCCCATCTCTTAAATAAGCAGTTGGATAGTAGCTGATTATCAAATCTGTATCACTCCACATGACGTAGGGGCATAGTACAGTCTCGCACGCAAGACTGAAGCACATCATAGCAGATATTTATAATAGGTGGCACGACAACAAGAACATTGTAACCACAACAAAAAGGCGACAAACAATTAATCCAACTGTATACAGGAGTCAAGTCATGTTTGGAGATGGCCTCGTTGAGAACAAGCGAAATATTTGGCATCAGGCCCAAGCATAACTTGACTCTAAAGCCGAAACAGGGACGCAAGAACTCCAATTTTTATTTTTGGAATTTTAGAGTCCGTGTTCGTTTTTATTTTGCCAAGTACTATTATTACTACAATACCTTTCACTAACTTTGCTCTAGATTTTCTGCTACTACAATTTTCAAAATGATCTGCGGAAAAGTACGCGCGTCAGTTTATCCTACGTATATAACTCTATACATATATAATTATGCTAAATGCACTACTCATAGGCTAGTAGAAGTATAGCAGACGGCAAGGGGGACAGAGAGAGAAATAAACACATTTTTTTACTTTTTTCGCGTAACAATAGTAATAATAATACTGTCATCATAATCAATCAAAGAAGGCGGCCTACCTGTAAAGAAGACTACTTCACGCTATCTCAACAAAAAGCGTGCCCTCAAATGCTGAGGGCAGGCTAGCGGAAATGAGTAAATGATCGACTGATTGAACAAACAAACCTACTAGGACCAAACAAACACAATAAGCCCATAGTGAGGACATAAGCAGGACGATCAAGGGTATACATAAATACACACATATACATACATATACTTACATCTATTAAAGTAAATAGGACTTTAACAACACGCATTTCCAAAGAGCTCCCCCCACTGGTACAATATTCAACATGCTATGATCCCGTGGGAATGCTAATAACTAGCGGTAAAGTAATAATCACAGTGACGAACAACAATAATGTGGCTAGGCGTTAAAGTGTCACGCGTACCGAAAGTGTACGCCAAACGCACACATGAAACTAGAAACACGAATGAACTTAGTGTACACATTCACGCACAGTTGATATCAGTATATTACTGCGATAGTGATATAGCAATTAACTGAACGTTGATTAATTCAACACAAGGCGACCGTAGTCAAACGGTAGTACAAACGGCAACTGTATTATTCCGTGCCGCTCCGACGATAGCGTAGATTAAGTTAATAAAAATAACATCAATGGTTAGGAACAACAAAAGTAATAGCAGTCTATGAACCGTACTTCGTTCTAGATTTTTTGGCATATACACACATAAAATATCAATAGCAAACTGAATCAATTTTATCATTACCACTTCTCTACTTCGACTTCTATTGCTAGTTAATTCCGAAGGAATAGGAAGTCGTCACAAGAAATCAGCCGTGTTATAACTTTCGTCTTCTTTTAAGCATACGCACATTCTGAAGACAAAAATTAAGGTATGTACAAGTATGCGGTAGACACTCGTAGTGGCGGGGAACAAAAAAAACGAAAGAAAAGTCGAACGACAGACAAACGTCTCTTTGGTACGTAACAACACATTAAGCGTGATTTCCGCTTCAAGTATCATAAACATAATAAATAACTATAATAAATGATCATGATGAATATAAATATCAACTTGTGTGAATTTGATGAATCTCAATAAAACAAAATGGGATATCCTTCATATTTTATACGATCCGTCGACGCGTGGTGTGTGATTTTTATTGTATGATAATTACACTGACTGACTGACAATATCATTATATTTGCCAGACTTTTTTTTTCAATGTTTTTAGCCATTTTTTAGTGTGTTTAAATTAGAAATAATTTCTGCTATATAGCAAAGAACTCCATTCCGCTAGAAGGTCTAATCGAACTTGTCTGATTTACTCTTAACAGACTTATGAGTCGAGCGTGCATGGTAATTATATAGTACATAATTATTATTAGTGTTGTAAATCAGCGCGATATTATACACTTCAGTTGGGTATATGCACACTCCGTTCAGGGCTAGAATCGGCTTCTTGAATTCAATAAACGAATTGACATTTTAGCTCGTGTGGCATAACCCAAAAGGAAATAGAATGGTCAGTTAAGTCTTAAACATCTTCAAAGCAAGCAACTGATGCGCTTAACCCTCCTGGTACCGACCATAGGTATGGTTTAATCCCACGTATAATACTTAAAAAATAGAAGTACAGAAAAGGAATTCTAAAAGCAGACTGTAATTGTCGTACGGTTTTTTTAATATTTGAAAACAGCAGAAACGCCTTAGCATAAGTTTTGACGAAACAAAGAATAGCCTCAGTTGCACAAAACGGTATGAAGTTGCATCTCCATGTAGTCAGCGACCATTTTTTTGGCACGAATTTCATCAAAAACGACTACTCTGTAAGATCACCCGTTTAGCTGTAGTAGAGCAGCGAGTTTAAAGGCATACTATTCATAAAACAATCATATCGACTAGGCGCGTTTATCGTAGCTTTATTATTAATAACTGTGTGGTGATGCTACTAGGGTTTCGGGACAACGCAATCTGGGCTTACTTCTTCAGTTACTTGCAAGCTAAACTACGCCCATATATGAAAAATTCACTCGAGTGCGGTAATGATAATAATAACGATACAATATGCAATCGGTATATGCATACATGAATATAAACAAAAGAAAATACTTGTCGAAGACTCGAAACAGAAATCATATTTCTGACCAATTAAATCCTCTAACTCTACGCTCTACAGGCTATCTTGAATCTACTTCTTCAAAAATAAGCATTTAATATCGTTGCCGTCGTTATCACTACTCTAAAAGTACATGAATGAACAAATATTGGAGATTGCTTTTTTTTGACTGAATGCATTATTTTCTTATATCCTTCAGTGATCATTTCTGTTGGTTTACTTGACGTCGAAGTTCCAAAAGTATTCTTTGTTTATGTAATTTGGTTAGTGCTGGTTAAGCTGCTTTGCACTACTATTTCTATACAACGGTTATTTTGTATTTTTAATGGTATGTACTATGATTGCTCCGAACGGCTTCGATAATTAGTTATCTGTATTGTCTGTATTTATCTTGCAGCTCTGTCAACCGACCTTTAGAAGTGCAAAGTAATATTGTTATATAACATGGAGACAAATAGTAATTATACCACGCACCAAACACAAATAGTAACGCACCACGCAACCTGGTTAGATTATTATGAACATTATTTCAGTTATTATACATGGAATATGTCTAAGTCATAATGACTGCCGACACGTCATAGGCGAAAATATTGCCGTTTGCGTTGAGGCTAGCAGATGTGACCCAAGTAGAAAAATAATAAGTAAGGAATTACTTTATTAATGCCAAACCCGCAAAAGTGCCAATTTATATGCAAGCCTACCCTATAAATTTATCGCCTGTTACTGGACCTTTAAAATTATGTTTCGTTCTGTATTCGGCCTAATTCATTTTACTTCGAATTTTCAAGAATAATTCGAGACATAACCTTTCTATTTTTCTAAATATAAACTTAATTTATAAAAAAAAAAAAAACTAATAAAAACAGCTTCATACCACAGCTTTTATGAACATTTTTTACTTCTCAACACGTGAGCCTCAATTGCATTTAGCCCAAACTAACCACTTCCTACAGCGGCGTCTCGCGTCCTGCATGACACATCATCCCGGTCGATCAACGCCAGCATCTGCTTCATCTAATTTACGCAGGCAAGTCACAGTCTATAGAAGAAAATTACCTAATTTTTTCACAACCTTATTAGCGTGAACCATGAGCATAATGGTGCAACGTCCAGATATTGCCCATCCATGAACAAACCATATATTGCTCACAGTCTAACGCAGATACCCTACTGAAAATAAATATTGAACTAGCGATGATGTACCGCTCGCTGTTATTGCTGATTAGCAGAGGATTCGGTTACGGTAAGTCGCTTATGGCCAGAGTGGTGCAACATAACCACATTTGCTGTGTAATTTGCGAACGATACATAGTGTTTTTTCGCTTATTAAGCAACGTCAGCTTGGGTGCTCACTGACTGTGATAGTTGCATATCTAAATGAATATTTAGGAGTAAAAACAACCTCAAAATAAGCTGTGAAATAGCTTTTGTTGGGTTGCTTTGAGAAAAATAGCTACCCCAAGAAGAAGCGACGCAACATGATACTGACGTAACCATTGAGTTTCTGGGGCAACAGCGGTATAATCTTTAGCAGCTTTTTTTTTGACAATCACAGCCTCCTACCAGTAAATATTTATTAATCTGCATAACTTACTATAATTAAACACATATGACATTGGCGGTTATTATTGCAGTTACGCCGATCTAATTGTATATAATAGGTAAACATTCGGATAACGCTTTATATAAAAGGCTGTAAATGTGTTTCGATATATATATATATATATATATATATACATACAAGGATATTTTGAGATTAATTAAATCTAGTTAATGTCTAATGATAGAACAAAATGTAACGCTATTGTATGGCGGGACCGTTGTGGAACCTATGCATTTAGAGGAGAAGCTTATTATATAAACATATTTAATTAATTGCATTTTGTAATTGTATGGCTCCCAATATAAAACATAGATGAATTCAGTCGTATGGCTATAAACACTTAATAAATGGGAGCTACATAGGTAAGTAATCTGTTTTTTGTCAAAGCCTGAAATCTTTCAGCTAAAAAGCAACTTGACTTCTTTATATAAACGTAAAAACACTGAGTTTCGTCTTGGGCTTTATATCACACAAAAGCATGATAGAATGCATGAAGTTTTTGGCACGGAGAATTGATGAAGTTTATATGACCACAGTTCACGGTGTTCTTCACAATTTTGAACATACATAGGATGTATCACTATTTAAGTACGTACATGACTACCTATGGTGGACGAACTAGCCAACTTGACAAGACAATATATACTCTAGCTAAGAATACAAGCGTTTTTTAAACACAGATTCCTTCAATCTTACGTGGTCCTCTACAGCTGTGTCAAACACAGTCATTAATGTCTCATGTAACTTTTACCGTGTCTCATATTACTTACAAGTATACAGTTAGAGAGCTTACATTCTCTTTAAAAACCGTTAAATGTCTATAAGCCGTTATTAAACCAAAAAAAAAAAGTGCCTTCGAGGACGTTTGCTCCCCCGACCGCGTAAATCTTTGTAAAAATTTAGCCCATAAAGTTTTGTGCAACCCACAGCAATCTGGGGGAGGGGGGGGGTCAAAATAGGGTTTTATTCATTTGCAAATACACTCAATTTACCTGGCACGTTTATTTGGTGTTTTCGATGGCAAACAGTATTGAAGTCGCGGGTATTGATGACCTTTTTGCCTTGTTAGTAGTCAAATAAAAATTTAATAAGGAGTCTACTCTTAGTTCCTTGGTGAGACACTTAAACTTTTCCAGGAGTGGAACACCTCGTTCGGATCCGAGGTTTTGTCAAAACGGTGTACGAGCTAAGAAATATATTTATAGTGTACTGGTGGTACTCATTGAGGCTATTTTTGTTTGTAACAGAGTTGTTCTGCGATATTTGCTTCATTATATTTTAAGCAACATTGGCCGTCGTTGCCATTTTGATAGTACCAAATTGTCCAACATTGTGTCAAGGCTAGAATAGTACTTGGCGGTACTTACGTTATATTCTTAATAACTAATATTTAAGATCTTCATGTAAGTTTTATAATCTCAAACATAGCTATCTTTAGCAGTATAAAAATGACGATGGTGGCAAATTTACTTGGCTTTCTGAGTTGAAACAAAATAAGTTTGCTACCATCGTTTTGATGATGCAAAAGCCACTTTACCATCCCGGTAAAATGCTCTGATGAATCCGAGTTAAAATATGCCCAGGATCCTCTTTTTCGGTAGATCTTATTCTAGAAATTGACAATAGACTCCATTACCGATTAAGAAGATAAGTTATAGAAAACCTAAAGCCACAGCTAAGTTCCGCTTTTTTTTTGGATGTCGAGCGTAGAAGCTCACAGTTAGAACTTCTTCATAAAACGGATTGGATTATCTGTTCGTATATTTGACAAGAAATCTATACGTAGCAATTCGCAATATTGTGGATCGTTCAACATTTGTATTCTGTATTTAAGAAAACAAAAAAAAAAAAGAAAAAAAATATTGGCTTTCTATTTGAAGGGCGGAGTGTGTGAGCGGGCTTAATTTTTGGACAGGTTTACCAACATAATAGGGAATATCCTGTAATAGGTATTTCGAAAACCATAACCTCACACGTTTTTGACTTCGAGATGTGAGCTTCATAAGTATATGTTCACTGAAGTCGGTATGTTTGGCTTCTTGTGTTAGCTGCAACAGCCCTGCGTAGAAATGAAGTAAACCAACGACAAGACACAACCGGCTTCTATTTATTTTGAACCTATAAATGAAAATTAGCGACATTCGTAACGTTTTATATGTGTGGTAAAGAAAGTAGCATGCCTTTCAAGTGAATGTGTTCGTCAACTACTGTTTTAAATACATCAGGTTAAAATCTTTTAAGATCCAATATTTAATCTAGACGCCTAGCTACTACGTATCTTTGACGTATATATCCATAATGTGTGTCACATAAACAACACGCTCATCTAATGTACAAACAGCACAGTATATTTATTGGTCTAAAGAAGACGCTCCTCCATAGTATCAAACTAACTACTGTCTTCAAGATGAGGCCTA